TTTGATGGGTGGTGATCATTTAAAAATGGAAGAGAAGGGGGAGAGTGTATAGGAGAGAGAGAGAGAGAGAGAGGAGGGAGAAAGGGAAAAAGAGTTATTGTATGAGATAAGAAAATAAAGTAAAAGGGGAGATAGAAGTCTGTATTAGTTAGTACGAAATAAGGGAAGAGAGTTACGTGAACAATATGAGTGTTAGGAAAATTTGGTATAACGACCATCGGATCAAAAGTTTTAAAATGATATGAGCTACGAAAAATTAAAGACAAACATTCCTAGCTACTTTATTATATAAATACATTTATCTATATCTACATCTACTACTAATAAAAATAGTTTAAGCGAAATTTTTGATTTCCTTATTTATCCTTCAATACTTCTATAATGTCTATTTTATCTATTTTTGAGGAATTTTTTTTATTTTTTTATTAGTTGCATTAATTCAATTAAAAAATCTATTATTTAACTTTTGATTATCTTCTTTCCAAATAATATAAATTCAATCCAAATCCGATTTAAACAATGTGACCCGAATCCAATTCAATTATCCAATGAATTTTATTTTTCACAGTGCATATATGAGTCCGTTAAAATAGATATACGTTCTGATTTGATAAGTTAATTAGAGACGATTTTAACATTTAACACATGAATTTTTACTCAATTTTATTAAATAATCACCAAATTACATCATATGTTTGTATATATTTGTAGATATGTAGTGCATATCCAAATTCACTAAAAAATAAATATTTAAATAGATTTAATTACCTATATACTACTTTTGAATGTCAATAGTTATTAAAAAAAAACTTAATTGATAATACTATCTTTAAAAAGATAAAAAAACTTAACCTATTGTACTAATTTTTTATTAATCCAAAAAATTAGCAGTCATTCATCTATTAATCATTTATTGAAGTTAAACATTATAATTTTTAAATGCAATGCAATTCAATTTTTTTTTAAACTTATGTAATTCAGTTTATACAACCCAAAATACGAGAAAAATCTTGAGAGTAATAGTTACTCCACGTCAGAAGTGTTATTTTGTGTAACCGTCCACTAACAAGGGAACAAGTAGACAAGTGAGCCCTCATAAAACTCAATAATCATCTCCATATAAATATAAAAAAAATTAGTTTAATTTATCTTTTTTTATTTACAAAAAGTCAAAATAATTGGCATGCAACACACGCGTGTAACAACTAGTATTTGAAAACAGTCTATGATCAATTAGTCCATTGGTATATTTTTTGGGTCATTAAGGATAAATGTGTGAGAAAAGACAATAAAAACTCTAAAATAAATACGATCTTAAAAACTTTCATTCATACCTGAAACGATCTCTTGGAGATCTCTCTAATTTAAAATCTTCCTGAGAGATCCTAACAAATTTCACGTAAATCTTTCTCGCTCTCTCTATTCACATAATTTTCTCCCTCTCACAAGCATATCTCTCACACAGATCATAAAACATCTTACGTAAATCTCTCTCTCCCTCACGTGCGTTCTTTCTTTCTTTTTTTTTCACACTCTTTCTCTCTCTTCACGTAAATTTCTCCATCTCACAAACATATCTCTTTATCACGTGTGTGTGTGTGTGTATATAGTAGCAACCAGTTATCGTGATTCTTGACTAAATCAGTCTTGAAGGATTTAGAATTTCTAATCATGATTTGACAAGTGAACTTAGACATTATAGTTGACACATGCTAAAAAGAGTTGTTTAGGCTGACTCTATTATGACTGGGTAAATAAATGCTCAATCAAACAAGTTTGTAGCTTGGTTGAACAGACTTTGACTTTGACTAAGTAGACTTTGGTTTTGTCTGAGCATATTGAGTAGAAGTTCGACTTGAAAATAAATAAATTGAATGTGGTCAGCTTGTTAGAAAGCATTCCCGAGTAAGGAAGTGTATGTCGAACAAAGTGTAATGAAGTATGCTTAGAAAGAAATACTACATGACTAGAATTTGAGTAAGAATTTGACTCCATCCTCTGGAGATTGAGCCATATCAAACAAGAACAGATAGTTAGGCTATTCTTAGAAATCCAAGGTTGTTAATAAGATGAAGCTTAGGTATCGATAAGGACTAAGACTGAGCATAAAGATAGGTAGACTATCTCGAATAACCAGAAATAGTGCTAGACAACCACTAAAGAAATTGTCGAAATCATAAGTGCACATTAAAAACATGTGACCTATATAATTGATCAATAAGAAATAATGTTTGGAAAGATTCCAATACAAATTAAGAAAGATTTTGGCTAAAAAATAGGTGTTCCACATTATACAATCAATGACGGAAACCCTAGAAGAGGGTACATACCATTATAAATACCGTGTAGGCTTACGTATAAGGTTTGCACTTCTTTTCCTTACAAATTATTTGCTTAGTCTTAGAGTCTTTACTAATTTATGCATCAGAGTGCTTCAGACTAGTCCATCCCTAGTTCCTGACAATTTTTTTGTTTTGTAGGAAGAATATGTTATTTGTTCGTTTTTCCGTAAAAAATCATATACTCAAATTTCACATCATCCTTCCTAAGAGATGCGAGACTTTTTCTTTACAAAAGTCCAATTCTAAGTCACATAGAACAACAGTGTAAAAGCTAAAAAATTTTAAAAAAACTTAAAGCAATTTCGCGATAGCCCATGCATAAGAGCATCATAGTAAATGCATACATACATATTTATATATATAAAAATTAATAAAATAAATTTTACACAAATATATGATAAATTATTTAACTATTATTTTAACATATAAATAATTGTTGGAATTCTGAATCAAAAAGAATTTCTTCTTAAAAAATCAAAATCAAAAAATGAAAAGCATTTTCATCCCTTGGAACTGATCCCAAGCCAAGCTGTGGTACCAGCAAGCTTATAAATTGTAGTAAATGCCCCCTTTTTACAACACTGTCATTTGGACTGACCAACAGTAAACTTTGGGCTTCTGACCTGAGTAAAAGTTAAAAAATTTAAACTCTTGAATTTAATTTTAAATTTTTGAATGTACATAATGAAGAGTGCGCATTTATGCTGAATTCGCTCTCAATTAATAAATTTACTCTCCGAGCTATAGAGCGTGGGTTGTAAGAAGTAAATTGTATGACTAAGGCCCAATCATCGAGATAAACAATTTTGAATTAACACGAGCAATATTTCTTAGACCTAATTTCATGGCACAAGCTACTCTTAGATTAGTAGGAATTTTAATTTTGAGCGATCTACTGCCAAACTAATAAAAACTAAGGATTAGATGTGATGAGGGACTAAGGAATGCATGGTGACTCATGTGAGCTACATTTGAACGCTAGGAAAAGTCCCGGACCACGAAAGTAATCAAAGGAAGATGATAATCAACCACTATACTTTTTTAAAGCTCTTGTATTTATATAATAAAACATTTACTAATTTGAATATACCCCAAAATTCTGTCAAATCAAGTGCTCTTCTCCAAATTTCACCTCTCTCTCTGTCTTCTCTCTCATGCATCCGATTGCCCTTTTCTCTTTCCCACTTCTGTCATCTTATCTTTCTCTCTTCTTTCTCTACTCCCTTCTCTATTTATCTGAACAGCGACCACCACTCTCACATCGACCCAAACGACCATATATTTAATATTACTCAGTCTGCAGCTCTTACCAGAACTTGCCTCAATTCTCACACAGCCCAAAGCCATACTTTTTTTGGTGACTCCAAGCAAAGAACTTGTTCATTGAATGGGTTTTAATCCTGCAAATTAAACAGATCCAATGCATAAGTAGTTATACAGTTAACAGTTGCGGCTAAGATATTGTGGCAGACTGGCACTGTGGTGAGTCTGGTGACCCTATCTAAGAGATCATAAATTTGATAATAATTTAGGCATGGCCTTTCAAGGTTTTTAAGGGAGGGAGGCAGTGTGATCCTAGTAATGCTCCGGATCCCAAATTACATCCCAAATGAGTGTTGACCTTTTGAAAGCATCTCGCTATTTCGGGTTGAGACTTTTCTATTATATATATATTTTTTTAATTTTACTTGGTAATAAATAATCTAGTATTCATTTAAATGGGATTTATTTTGTATATATAAGTGAGTCAATTTAATGTTTAATCACTCACGCATACATTTACCAACATGGTAGAAGAATTTTAGAAACTACGTACGACGCCCACAGCATTACTATTGCTAGCACATTGATTAATTCATCAAGTTGACAAGCTGCGTCGCATTGGTAGCACATTGATTAATTCGTCAAGATGACAAGCTGTAAAATTTCATTGCCAACTATATTCTACCCAAAGCTTTCAATGCTGTGTGACACTATAACTTTCCCACCACCCATTTCCCACCCTCATCGATTAATGCTACACAATCTAAAAGATTCATATCATTCCTCATATGAATTATGTAGAACTCATTCATCTAATTATTTACAATACAACGGTGATACTATGTTTACATTGATGACATTGTATCACCAACTAATAATAAAATTTCAAATGGACAAAATGAACTCCACTTGGATAGTTATAGTCTTGTGTGAGGTCTATTTCCTTATTTGTTTGCATATTATTGGTTAGTGATACAATGTGATAATACTGACGTGGTATCACCGTTACAAAAAATATTTTTTTCAATGAATGATATGGATTTGATTTGTAATTTTTAAAATGGATAAAGTAAACTTTACTTGGATAGTTATTAGTCTACACGAAAGATAAGTAAGTAATTATCTACTTACATAAATTGATAGTTATTGGCTTGTGTGGGGTTCACTATCTTATTTGTTTGCATATTATTAATTAATAATATTACGTGACAATATTAATGTGATATCACTATTATAATTAATATTTTTTCCAATTAATGATATAAATTATAAGTTTTAAATTTCATTTAAACTGTGGAACATTTTATCACCCTACTTTCTCTCTATTATATATAAAGTAGAAACACATGCCCTCATTTGCCAAACCATCCCTCCAAAGTCACATCCAAAACAAACATGAAACCACTAACAGGATCTTACATCCAAGTCCTCCAAACCTTATTTTTAGCCCTTTTATCCTTCACCCTCCTCCTCCACACCACCTTTTCCTATATCCCCTTCACCACTGTTCTCCGCCACATCCTCCCAACCAACTTCCCCCTTTTTCTCTCATGTGCTCTGTGCGCACTCCTCCTCCTCCTCCTCCTCTACCACCTTCACACCCGCCCACACCCCATCCTACTCTTAAACTACTCCTGCTACAAACCACCACCCCATCGCAAGTGCCCTATGGAGGTGGCCGAGTCCTTCGTACGCCGCAGTGCTCACTTCAACCCTCAAACCATAGAATTCATGCGTAACATATGTCTCAAATCTGGTCTAGGCGACGAAACCTACGCACCCCCATTCATCTTCCAAGATGACAATCAGCCGACGCTGAAATGCGCCATCCAAGAAGCCCAAGAAGGCATGTTCTCCTCCATTGACGCTCTCTTATCCAAAACCCTAATCAACCCACAACGCATAGACATTGTTGTCGTTACATGTGGAAGCTTCTCTCCATCTCCTTCTCTCTCCTCTCTCATATCAAACCATTACAAGCTCAAACCAGACGTGAAAACCTATAACCTAAGTGGGATGGGTTGTAGTTCCGGCATTCTCTCCATTGATATGGCCGCTAGGGTTTTACGTAACAGTAGAAAAGTTCAATATGCCCTCGTAGTAATCACTGAGAACATTACTCTGAATTGGTACTCCGGCGATAGCCGTCCAATGCTTGTAACCAACTGTATTTTCCGTGTTGGTTGCACCGCCGCGATAATCACCAATGACCCGAGTCGCCGCCGAGTTGCTAAGATGGAACTAGTTAACTGGCTCAGAACTCACTACGGCGCTGACGATTCGTCTTACCGTGCCGCATTTCAAGAGGAAGATGACAAGGGTAATACTGGGGTAGCACTCACAAAGGACTTGATAAGAGTCGCCGGTGTAAACCTGCGTGAACATATAAAAATAATTGCACCACGAGTTCTACCACTGAGTCAACTCGTCTACTACATGTACTCAGTTATGGTGGCCGCAACGTCACACGGCAAGTCGAAGCCGGTGGTGCCGGACTTCACAAAGGCATTTGAGCACATGTGCATACATACAGGTGGGAAGGCTGTGATTGAGCAAGTGGGTCGAGTTTTGCGACTCGGTGAAGATGTGACTGAGCCGGCTCGGATGAGTTTAAACCGGTTTGGGAACACCTCTAGTAGTCTGGTTTTCTATGAGTTGGCTTATTTTGAAGCTAAAAAGAGGGTGAAGAGAGGTGATAGGATGTGGATGATTGGGTTTGGGACTGGGTTTAAGGTTGGGAGCTTGGTATGGAAATGGGTTCGGGACTCGAGTCAGGATTGTGATAATCCATGGAGTGATTGCATAGATAGATACCCAATCAAGGCTTGGTAATTTGGTTCTAGTTTTTTTTTTTTTTTAAGGTTTATTTTGTTACCATAAAATGTATTGGCTGCTGTAAAAGATAGTAGCTGTATGCAGATTTGGAAAAAACAGAAAAATAATATTACTCGTATGAAATTTAATGTATTTTTATTATTATTTATTGGGGCAAAATGTATTTTTTATTATTGAATTGACAATAATACTCGTACTTTTTAATGCAAACATGTGTTTTAAAAACACACTTGCTTCAGTCCTTCATTGAAAGTGTGTTATTAAAAGCACCCATTTGCACTAAAAAATGTGTTTTGAGAAAATATTTTTAAAAAATAACATAATTTGATAAATAAGTTAAAAACAAAGGTGTTTCGGATTAACAGCCAATTGAAATTAATATCCAAATACACTATTTTTTTGGTCAAACAATATATATGGAGGAAATGATGAGATTTGAACTCACGAGCAATAAAATTATGTTAATGAATTGAATTCAAGTTAACATCTAAGGGATGATATACATTTATTTGGGTTACAGTTTTTAAGTTTTATTTGAATTGTGTAACATTTTTTTTTTGGAATGCCGGTATCTAATATTGTGTAAAAGTGCTTAGTAGAAAAAGTTTTGTACGTAAGTTTCTTAGTTTTATGAGTCACAAAAATATCCATAAAATAATACTAATCGACAACTAATATTATCGCTAAAAACATGGGCAACTAATCCTTAAAATCCGGTAAAACATGAGCAACTAATTCCATTTTAAAAACAACCGTATGTCATGCACCAAACCATTAGTCTAGCAACTAATATATCACTAAAAATATGAGTTTTGAAATTTAAACAAAATTTGCCACAATGTCATAAAATACGTTAGATTTCAATCAAATCAAAAACACAAACAACCAAAAATGGTGACAACAAAAATTTCGTTTGTGTAACAACAAGGTCCTATTGATGAATCATAGTGTGACATGATAGTATAACAATACAATGGATAATATTGTATTTATCACATTGTGACTGATAAATGTACGATTACATTTTCTGATTCATACACTAGGCTAAAATGTTATGCTTATTACACTGTGACATTAAAAAACAAGTTGGTTGAACACTAAAACATGGTAAAAATAGTATGTTTAAGAGAAGATGTAGATGGTCACAGTAACATTACATTGTGACATTATATGGATGCATGTATCGTACATGTAAACATGAGAAAAAATGGTAAAACCTAGCCCTTGACATTATACACTACCAATTTCAAAAAAAGGCTAATTGTTACATTAATAGCAAACATATATACCCAAATTTTAAGTGAAGTAGACCATATATGTTCAAGAAGACGAAAAACATTAGACATTGGTGTAGAAAAAAAAAACCAGATGTTGAAATATTTTCCGTCCACAAAGAACAACAAAAGTTGACGTAGAACAAGAAAATCATAAGCAAAAAATTTACACTAGTCGTTGAAGTATAATAATATGAATTTATGTTTAAAATTAAAATTCATATGGATTTAAATCATAATTCATATGATTTTATGATTTAAGTTTCAAATATGTTGATCTATTAAAATAAGAAACTCTTAGTATAATAAACCAAATCTCATAAAAAAATAAGACTGTCAATTTAAACAGCTCAATAAATATAAAAAAAATATATTTTAGTAAAGGAAAAATCTAAAAATCTGTCAATGTGTATCTAAATACTATACATTTCAAGTTAATAACACTTATCTACAAAATATTTTAATCAAGATATTTTCTTAGAATTAAATAGTTTAAAAGTTACTTCTTCACAATTTTCACAATGTTGTGACCCTTGAGGCCAGCCCAACAATTTTAATTTAAGCCCACACTTCGGTAGGCATCTTACTGTGTTACACATAGTGGGTTTTTCTATAACTTGGACCCCCAGAGATTCCAATTTAGGCCCACGTGACCTCCTGAGGTTGGCACAACACGACGGTTCTAATATAAGGCCACGCATCGGTAGGCATCTTGTGTTTTTAATGTACAAAACATAGGCTTTGTAAAACCTGGACCCTTTGAGGTCTGCCCAACGATTCCACTTTAGGCCCAGTCCTCGGTAGACATTCTGTGTTTACAGGTGCTTCGTTTCGTATGCTTGGTGCGCTCTCTCTCCCTAAATCTTTTCAATGGAAGTGTCCCCCTCTGTAAATGCTTTTAGCGTACAATGTATTTCCGTTATCATTGAAACTATGGTTAGCATGTTCAAATCCCCTCGGAAGGGGTTGGGGGGGGGGGGGGGGGTTTGATAATGTCAGGTGTTGCACGGGCATTCATTTTTTATAAAGTTAAATAACGTATTTGCTTTGATTATAATGAAAAAGAAAAAGAAGGTAAACTCGGTCTTGGTTAGAGAGAGCTATTGTGTTTACCATATTTGGGTTCCTAGAGGCCCAACCCAACAAAAATCTAAGAAAGCCCAAACATTGACATTGTCGGTTAAACCACTTTATTTTCTTGAATTATTATTCTTTTTCACTTTATATCTTTAATTATAAAATTTCTCATATTACACTTTAAAATATTAATTTTATTTCATATCACTCTAATAGATAATAACTACCAATTTTTTAAAGGTAAATGCTCATGTGTATGGTATGTACTACCAATAAACAACTGCTTATTATACATTTGCATGTCAAAAATTTAAAAAAATACATATTCATGACTTTGTCCTTCTTAAATTCTAAATTTTTTTCTTATGGCTGACCATCTTTTTCTTCATAGCAACCATTTGATTGTAAAATATGTAAAATAAAATGGTATTAGACACTTAGCGTAACATTTGTTGGGGTTTGCCTCCTTCATTTGACAAATTTTCAAGTTTGTCATTATCGATTTTGATATGAAACAAAATTGATACTTTAAGGTATAATGTAAAAAATTTTATAATTGAAGATATAAAATAAAATAAAACTAATAATTTAAGAGAATAAAGTGTAATTTACTCATTACATAGGTACTTAGACCCATCGTCATTATTATATTTATTAGTAAATTTTTATTCTCATAGCTCTTAAATTTATATTTATAGACATATAATATTTACATTTCTCAAATTTAAAATATTATATTTAAACCTTTTATTAGTTATGGAACTAACAAAATCTATTAAACGATCAAATTACTCCAATTAAAGATAAAAAAATATTATATCCATCACAATTAAACATCTTATTTGATTTTTTAGTTTTATTCGAATAGCTAGTATAATTGTATTCAAATTTATGTTGAATTGAATTCTTAGATATATTTATACTGATTACTATTTTTTTTAAATGAAATTTTATTTGAATTTTATGTTAATAGATGACATAATAGAACATTTAAATATATTAATTAGGCTTATTTCATATTTTCGTACTTGATTAAGAAAATTTTGACCCAATATGAAAAGTTCATTTAGTCCAAGATGCTTTAGGTGTGCCACTCTTAAAAAATGTTATATAATCCAAATGAAACTCAAAAATTAAAACTCAAATGCATATCATTCATTCGATGAGTGTAGGATGAGTGAGAGTCACTGAAAAAATTGATGGGACCTACTCATCTAAAGGATGATATGCATTTGAGTTGTAATTTTTTAGATTTTATTTGAATTTTGTAACATTGCTTTAATTTATACCTTTGAGTTATTTATTGATTTAGGCATCGGAGGAGAGTCAACCCCTATAACTCATTTTTGTTCTCCAACTTCTTTTTCAAGTAATCAAAGTCCAACAAATTGACATGGCCGGTATCCAAATTTTGACATCAAGAGTTATAATTATGATTTTTATTTTTTATTTGGCATCAAAAGAAAAACTAGATTTTTATTTAGAACACAAATTTTGGTTGTAAAATTAAAATATTTAATATTTTATTTTTAATTTAAATATTTTTTGTGTAAGCGTAATATTTTAAACTTGATAAATCTTTATATTACATGTTTCAAATTTTAAGGATGCGGATATAATTTACCAACATACATTAACCGGATCTATGTATTACAAATGTATAAAATTTAGAAAATTTGTATATAATATTTTAAATATTAAAGAATTTAAGAGACAAATTTTAAAGGGATTGAATGTAATTTTTCCTATTTATAATGAACAGATTATCAGAGGCACCGGTTAACGGACAAAAGCATTGGCAAAGTATCTACTGGTTAGAAGTTTAGAGCTGATGAAGAGCGCAGGATAAGAAGAAGATATGCCAGTCCTTGTTCAACTCTGTGAGTCCTTCTCTCTTCTCAACCCATCTTTACCCTTCAACAATTTCATTGTTTGCAAAACAAACCATAACGGAGTTTTTTCAAGGTTTCCCGAATGTGTAGTTGCTAAATCCCCAAAACCAAACTCAGTTACCACCGCTGGGTCTTCCAAAACCCTGTTTCTCTCTGTGAATACCCCTATTTGGAGAAAAACCCATGTCTCTTTTTGCTCAAAAAATAAAATCTTTGTAGATTTTACGGCTACCAATTTGCCCACAAGGCCTAAAAATAAGCATGAAAATGAGAGAATTGAAGAACTTGAAGAGCTTGAGTTGCTGAATAGGCCTTCACCAACGCCGGTAAATAATGGGTCTGTCACGGAAGTAGAGGATGAATCTCGAAAACTTGATGAAGATGAGGTGTTGGAGCCTTTCTATAAGTTCTTCAGGCCTACAGACTCAATGGAGCAAGCAAATGAGTCGGAAGATATTAAGGAGGACAGTTCAAGTGAGGACGAGAGTAAGAAGGTTAGTGTTGAGTATTATGAGCCGAAACCGGGTGATTTTGTAGTGGGTGTTGTGGTTTCAGGCAACGAGAACAAGCTTGATGTGAATGTTGGGGCAGACTTGTTGGGCACAATGTTGACTAAGGAAGTTTTGCCTTTGTATGACAAAGAATTGGATTATTTGTTGTGTGATACGGAGAAGGATGTGGAGGAGTTTATGGTACGTGGGAAGATGGGAATTGTGAGGAATGAGGATGCATTGAGTGGTGAACCAATGGCTGGGAGGCCAGTTGTGGAGCCTGGAACTGTTTTGTTTGCTGAGATTCTTGGGAGGACACTTAGTGGGAGGCCATTGCTGTCAACAAGACGGTTCTTTAAGCGTATCGCGTGGCATCGAGTGAGGCAGGTTCTTCCCTCTTTCTTTTTCTTTAATTTAGATTAATTTTGTGACTTCTTGTTGATTATGTGTTCTCAGATTTGGAATAAGAAAACATGTAATGATTTATTGCAATATACTGCTGTCTTGCTTTATCAATCCTGCAACATCATATTTATGGGAAGGAGAGAGCATGACTGTATACCATAGACAGAAGGACTTCCGGAACCACTACAATATAAGTTCCAATCTAACATAAAGCGCTGTTCCTGTGGGTTCCTCTTTATTTTGTTTTCCATGAATTGATGCAAACCTTTGTTCAAGTGACTATAGGTTGGAATAGATGGTCACTTGCTCTACATGAATTCATTTCATCGCAAAACAGGGAATTCAGTGGTTGAAGCCACCTTTTTTGTGAAATGCTATGAGTGTGAAGCCAACCACACCTACCCTGCCATCTGTACTTGCTTCCTCCCAAACAGCACGGTGCTGCCTAGCTGTTCAAATCTGCTGACCTTTTTCCTACTTCATATGTCTGCTGTCACAGTGGTCCACCATTCAGCTGAATTTTGTGTAAGAAACCAAAGCGGTATACAGCATTGGATGAGAAAAATGTGTAACAAATTCATTAAAGTCACCAGTACAACTTGATATTTGACATATAGGGTTAGGAAAATTTTGAGATAGATTATTCATCAAGATAACATGCTTAACTAATTTTGGTGGTTGGATACTTGGTCCGTTCTCTGGGCACAAGAGTTGTGTCTGTCAAGTTAACAAGCTCAGCAGTACTTGTGATTGAGGAAAGGTAGGAAGCGTAGATGTCAAGGCACCACTTGAACTTGACAGGGTTCCAGCATTCCAGGCATAGATGGCTCCAAATTAGCCACATTTTGTCAGGTGGTCTCATGGATGCTTATAAGATGTTCCACGAGTCACTATCTTTTTGCCTCCTACATACTAGCTCTGAGAGCCATAACAGCGGGCATGTTGAGGTGGCTATGAGGCAAAACACCCTTCTCTGTAGTGACAGATGCTTGAGTGGTTCAAAGCAAATTAGCCACATTTTGTCAGGTGGTCTCATGGATGCTTATAAGATGTTCCACGAGTCACTATCTTTTTGCCTCCTACATACTAGCTCTGAGAGCCATAACAGCGGGCATGTTGAGGTCGCTATGAGGCAAAACCCTTCTCTGTAGTGACAGATGCTTGAGTGGTTCAAAGCAAAAAAGAGAAGAGAGTGTTTTCATTAGTTGGTTTCCAGTTTATATCATGTGTGGCTGGAGCCATTTCCTATCAGAGGTTTTAAAATGGAAGTTAATATTTGCCTTAATTGCTTGTCATTCATTCTTTTATAGCTGAAAGTTGTGTCTGACAAGATTTCTTGACAAGTGCTATTCTTATTTTTTGTTCAATTCATGTTATATTGTTATATCTAGTGCAGATTAAGCAGCTCAATGAACCCATTGAGGTTAGAATTACAGAGTGGAATACAGGGGGTCTCCTTACAAGGGTTGAGGTCTCTCTCTCTCTCTCTCTCATATTCTCTCTCTCGTGCATGCATAAGCATGTCTCAATGAATTATATCTTGGGAACTTGGTTTTGCAGGGTTTGCGAGCTTTTATTCCAAAAGCTGAGCTGATTAATAGAATTAAGAACTTCACTGAGCTGAAAGAGAATGTAAGTTGAAACTCTTTCAGGCTTCTTACTACATTTTCTTTCATCATTTATGTGTTTGGTGATGGATTTGCATTCTGTTTCTGTATGAGATTTATTTTGTGTATCTGCATGCAAGTACAATTCCTCTCTGTTGGGCAACTTAAAATTCGCCAAATCTACCTATATCAGTGTCTTAAAGATTGTAACAAAAACATAATTCTGAAGCGTTTTTCTTAGTGATTGACTAAAGCCTCTATGTTGGGAATTGTGCTTCTGCATATTGGGGCTCATCTAGCGTTGATTTGGTCACAACACCTTACTGCTAGGACAAACCATACAATAATCATGGCTGGTGTCATTGAGGCCCATTCCTAGCTGCCTGTGCCATGTAGTACACACACTTCATTCATTTGGGCTCACGTAATAATCTATCCTCATTGAAATCAAACAAAAAATTTTAGTTTGTATAATCTTCAATCAACCCAGCTTCTTAGTCTTCTTTCTTGAAACTAAATTCCTTTCTTTAGCAAACAAAATTTGGTCCTCTATCTTAATTGCATCACTATGCACGAAGGAAATGGAAATATGTTATGATACAATCATTTATCATCCACCCTGCTTGGATGCTTTGTGTAGCTTTGTGTTTTCCCAGATTTTAGATGGTCAAGGATAGGCTTAACCTTTATTCATGGTTCTCATTTGGGACAGAGTGGATATTTTCTGTGTAGAATATCATTTCTTGTACTGCTGGTGATACTTGATATGGTAGAGGGGAACTGAAATTTTTGAAAGCATAATTTGTATACAAAAGATATCAAGATCTAGATATTTCTGTTCGCATTTGGTGATTTTGTGTTCGTGATCTACAGAGAATCAATGCTCATTTCTGTTGCTTATCTCTATGAGATAAAGGATGCTTGATTACTTTTCTATTCCTCAATTGATCAAGTTGCTTCAGTTGTTCAGGAGTATGTCATACTTGTATGCAGAGAATTGTATTACGATGTCATTACAATTCTCCTAACCTGGTCACCCATCTAGCTACTACTGGCCTTAATAATAGTGCAGGTGGTCCAATCAGCTAATCCAAAGCATTACTTAAAAGTATTTCCCGCTTTATTGTTTGTTGCTTTGCCCATGGTGGACTTGGCTTTGTTGTTTTGCTTACATACTCTTCTTTCATAACTGGTTTCTTGATGGTATAGGTGGGCCGGCAGATATATGTACAGATTACTAGAATAAATGAAGATACTAATGACTTAATACTCAGCGAGAAGGAAGCTTGGGTTTGTTTTTCTCTTAGCATGATGTGTTACACTGTCACTTTTGTGGCTCAATTTATTCTTTGGGTTTCTTTTTTATGCTATCTTTCTCCCAACTTTCTGTTTCTTTTTCATTTTGTCTTCTGAAGTGTGCTGGCTTCACCATGTTACAGGAAATGTTGCACCTTCAGGAAGGAACACTTCTGGAAGGAACAGTCAAGAAAATTTTTCCCTATGGTGCTCAGATAAGGATAGGTGAAACTAACAGATGGTGAGATACACCCCATGATTCATTTTGCCAACTCATCCTGATAAATTGTTGCCTTCTTTCTTTCTTTTCTTTTTTTCTTTTTTTTGGCCCTTTTATCTTGTTTATAAACTGCCATTAACTTGAAAGACTAAGTTGCTAGCCATGAATCTGAAATAAGTGGAGACAGGTACGGAAAATCTGAATAATAAACCTACCTAAAATAAAATCATGCAAAATTCTGTAGATGAAAGGAAATGGAAATATGCAGAACACTAAATACATGGGCTCCTGTCAAATATATTGGTGTAGATCTTGATGATCTAGAAGGTCATCATCTCCTTTGTTTTCAGTTAATGAAGGGTGTTAGGGAGGCTAAATTGTGAACAGACTTAATCTTTGTGGATTTGCGCAAAGCTGGTGTGCCAGAATCATGTGGTTGTTATCTCACATATTTTACCTCTGCACTAGGTAATGATCCTTAAAAGAGGGAGCATTATGGCTCATACAGGTCTTGGACCAGCCGCATTTAGCGTTATTGGCCCAACCTTTAAATCTATTGAACTAATATTTCATTTTCTAAGAGGAGATGGTTCCATCAAATTTAAAATAATGATTTTGCATTAGTAGTTATGCTTTTATTCTAATTGCTATCCAAATTTCCAATGGCTGACAGGTAAGGGTTTCTGTTATGTTTCTTAGTTTGTTCACTTTTTAAAAAAGAAAAGATTGGGATGAAGTGAGAGACAATTAACTCCTAGGACTCTGCAAGTAAAACCCTATGCATTAGCTACCTAAACAGTTTGGATAATTAAGTTGCTTCATTCACACTGTTTTTGGACTGATGTGGAAGAAAACAGCTTATATCATTTCAACAGTTTAATGGCTGCTTAGTTTTATAAAATTAAACTTTAAATTGTATATATATGTGTGTATCTATGGGAAACACTGTTGTACTCCTTTTCACTCTTCGGTACCATACCAAAAAAGTAAAAAAAAAAACTCAAAAGGTAGTAAGTTTACTCTAAAAAATGACTAGCTTCAACTAAAAAGTGTTAGGATACCAAAAGTGAGTGCACTCAAAAAATTGATAAGTTCCAGTCAAAAAAGTGGTATAGATACCCAAGAAAATGATAAATGGTACAATGCTGATTTTTTTTTTCCAGTACTGTGGTCAAACCCATGTGTCTGTATGTGTATAGATGTGTCTAGATACATCTTTAATTGCCTCTTTAGGAGCCATTGACTGGTTTATTAGTAAAAGATCTCGCAAACAACTGCAAGCATAATCACTTTATGATGCCTACCCACTTCATCCCTCCCATGTTTCTCGATTAGTAGCAGGGATTCAGAATTTCTTTTCTTAGAAATGTTTCAAGAACAGAATAGAAATTGAGAATTTTGGAAATTTGATTCCAAAACATTTCGAAACATCGAGTGGATCGAAATGTTCTAAAACATAGGGATTCTGATTTTCGTTCATTAATTTGTTTGGTTTCTGCTTTTCATCGAAACTGAAACGTTTCGGCTAAAATTTGGTGGAAACGAAATGATATTAACATCTTTTATATGATTATTTTTGTAAAGAGAGTTTGTATCCCGCAACGAATGATTACGATTACCAAAAGTTGGCTTATATACTTGAGGGGCTATTCCACCCATAACCAGTGGTTTTAGGTTTGATGCTCTAACATGGCATCAGAGCTAAACTTTAGGTGGTCAGTGAGCAAAGTCTCTTATTCATTTGAATTTTTCGGTATGCATGGTTTTTTGTTTACTTGTTAGTCCCACATGCGAGCCTGGGTCTCACGTAAAGGAGGGTGTAAAGAGAGCTTGTATCCCACATCGAATGATTAGAACCACCCAAGGTTGGTTTATACATTTGAGAGGTTACTCCACAGAATGCTCTGCCAATTTTATGCAATAACTAGAACTGTTTTGGGTTCCTTTCTAATCAAATAATGCATAGTGCCTTTGATAGAGTGGCAGGCTGGTATTAAGAGTCCCCTTAGGATGTATTGGTGATTCCATTGGTTATTTTAAATGTAATGGTCTTATATACTATTATTTAATGAGAGCTTGTATCTCACATCGAATGATTAGAACCACCCAAAGTTGGTTTATACATTTGAGAGGCTACTCCACCAAATGCTCTGCCCATTTTATGCAATAAGAACTGTTTTGGGTTCCTTTCTAATCAAATAATGCATAGTGCCTTTGATAGAGTGGCAGGCTGGTATTAAGAGTCCCCTTAGGATGTATTGGTGATTCCATTGGTTATTTTAAATGTAATGGTCTTATATACTATTATTTAATGAGAGCTTGTATCTCACATCGAATGATTAGAACCACCCAAAGTTGGTTTATACATTTGAGAGGCTACTCCACCAAATGCTCTGCCCATTTTATGCAATAAGAACTGTTTTGGGTTCCTTTCTAATCAAATAATGCATAGTGCCTTTGATAGAGTGGCAGGCTGGTATGAAGAGTCCCCTCAGGATGTATTGGTGATTCTATTCCATGTCATTGGTGATTTTAAATGTAATGGTCTTATATACAATTATTTATTACCTGTGAATAATTATCTTTAGTCTTTTTTAATTTTATTCAGTGGGTTGCTGCATATATCAAACATCACTCAGGACCGAATTACTTCTGTCAGTGACCTGCTAGCAGTTGGTGAGAAGGTTATGGTTCTGGTTGTGAAGTCGGCGTTTCCTAAGAACATATCTCTCAGGTAAGCAAGAAATGGATTCCCATGTTTCTTGTTCAGCCATGCATGCTGATGCTTTAAAACAGTTAGTTACTTGCTAGGGATAATGCCCTCTTGAATAATGTATGTTGAAGGAAGTAGTTCATCCCAAAAGGAGCCCCTCTGAACCTAGTGCTACGATAGAGTTTGGCATGGTTATAAGAAGTAGACATGTTGTCCTGTTTTGATTGTCAGTTCATGGTACAAATGGTTCAACCATGGTTGCTTGCAGACTTGTTAAATATTAAAAATGTTTTTGAGTCTCAAATGGAATCACATGCCAGCTCATTGATCACCTTATATTGTTGGCATTTAATATGATACAGTCTGCAAACCTGTATAATGCCTCTTTTAACATGTCATACATTCAAGATATAACCAGTTCTACCCGTGTGTGGTTCACTCGTTCAGCGGACTGGGCCAGACTGGTCCTATGCATACTTCTTGTTGGAGACAATAAATAAGATGAAACTGGTTGGATATCACCTTTGTTTGCTAGAAATTTTGATTTTAATCGATTATAACAACTAAATTATCCATCTCCTCTGATTACCATTCAATTCTGAAATCTATGGTTTTTTATTTTGTTATCTGGCCTCTTTACACAAATTACGCTCAGATTACTTTCTCCATAAATTCTTCGTTTTTTTAGTGGTTAAGATTTTTTGAAAGTTCAATGCGAAACAGCTGTTTCTTGCTTTAAAGGAATTCAAGTTTATGAGTGATGAGAAGGTGTGCTTTCATTAATTTGCAAGATTACCTATCTTTTTTTTTCCTCCTGAAAATAGTTACTCCATTTTTGCTTTCTTTTCCTTTTTTCCTTTTCGTTTGGGCTGGCCCGGGCTCAGTTTATTTTTTCTTTTTCTTTTTCTTTTTTGGTGGGGGGTTGACTAGTATTCAGGGCAAATAGGTGAAACAATTATAACTTGGACTATGGTTTACGAGTTTACAATAGTGAAGAGATGATTAGCTAATCTTACATAGGTGGATGGCATAGAATCATCATGGATAAAAAAAATCCTACGATCAATACTCAAATCATAAGCATATTTTATTGTTCTAAATTGGGGAAAGAGGAAACAACAAGACTTTCTAGCTGCGTCTTCTATTTGGCATCTTGTGTTGAAGAAGCAGTGGTAATTCCTTGGTCACCATTAGCTTGTTCTTCGCTCATGTTTTGACATAGACTTTTTGCATACTTGTCTAAGTAATGGCTAAACTATAACCATATAGGTCAAATCATGCCATGTATTTCTCTTTGAAAGTTGCATATTCTTTTCCTAAATTGGATTAAATGCTGGAAATTTAGCCATGCCCCTTGCTGCAAATTTACAAATGATATATCTATGGATCTTGACATATATAATTTTGCTTACTGAAACAGTAACTTTATTAATAGCACCGATAAATTTGGGGAGAGCCCAAATAGCCAACTTAGCATGATTTGTAGCCGCTTTTGAGGCCAAGTAACAGACTTGTCTTACAACTGATATCTGATGGTCAGAAACACATTTTGTATTTTAACTAAATTTTTTTTATGACTGATTTTGGTAAGAATGGAAGCTTCTCTACCCTGTTACTGAAGACTGGGAGGGAATTATTTGTTGGTTTCCTATATGCCTTTGCGTAATATGATCCCCAAAATTTGAATTCTTGAAATAGCTGTGTGTCAACAACTGTCTTTAATTGCCTAATAAAAGGTTGCTAAGGATATCTGTTGATTTTGTGGATGCAGTACTGCTGACCTTGAAAGCGAACCAGGTTTATTTGTAACAAACAAAGAGGTGCTTGTATCTTGCTAATGCATTTTTGTGACCTATATTTTGGCACGTATATATTGCCATATGGAGTTTTACTTAATGGGCCAACGATAAACTTTGATAATTTTTTGATATAATATTCCTTTTCTTGGGCAGAAATTATTTTCTGAAGCTGAAAAGATGGCAAAGAAGTACAGACAGAAGCTGCCAATTTCAGCAACTCGTACATTAGAACCTCTTCGTGACAACCCACCTTTTGAAAATGAAGATAGTTTGTATTCAAATTGGAAATGGTTCAAATTTGAACACGATGATGAACCAATATGATCCATCAAGGGTGCTCCATGACTGTGAAGTTGAAAAGGGGAGGAATGAAGTTGGAAACAGAGAACAAAGGCCTTCGGAAATTACGTCTCCCACTCCCTGCTGCCACCACGCAAAAAAAGGAAGGACATTTCCAATTCAGGTTATGTTCAAGGTACTTCCTATGGGTCATGTATTGCATCATTGCCGTTCAGATTACCAGACATCTGAAATCAAAGGAAGCAAATCATTTGATGGCTACTCCAGACACACCATGCTTCCTCATGCAGTTTTTTTGCTTGATTTGTATTGAAATGAATCTGGTGTGTCTCCATTGTATGCCCCAGTTGAATGACATGTATTTTATGTCCGTGGGTTGTCAATAGGATGTGATTCTATTTTGTGACATATACACCCTCCCACTCCCTTCTCTTTTTGGACGCTGTGCGACCCAAAAAACCATTCAGATTCGCTTTCTTGTGTTGGATCACTTTTCTTGGAAAGTGGGATTGAAATGATAACCAACATCAATGCATGCTATATTTTTTGAGTTGAGATTTGGGCTCTGTTCTTCACTCTATTATTAGGTGATAAAGTAATGCCATGCAACAACACATGTAATAGGAATGGTGTATGGTCAAGTTTGTTAAATTTGAATGCTGCAGTTGACTACAAGTTTTGGTGTAGTTGGTTAACTGTTCACATGATATCGAAGGAGAGAGAGAGAGAGAGAGAACTCATTTGAGAACTTGAAAAAAACTCAAGAAAGCATGCTTGTTGAGATAATTATAAATGCAGTGTTTACAGTGTCATTAGCACACAAAAGTGGTCAATTTTGTTTGGCTCAAAGCAGGATCCCATAAAGAGGCCTCCTAGATGGTGGTTCTTGTTTTTCGTTGACAGAAAGTTGAGTTCTGAGGCCTTACCAACCCTATACCTCTATTTACATATACAAATATACAATGTAGTTTTTATATTTCTATTTGTAACCTAAGCTGCAGCTTATGTCCAAATGGGCACCTCATTTTGTCTGCTTCAACTTCCTTTAGATTATAGACTCGGATGGAATCGGAATCCCAGTAAACAAGCTGAGCTATACCCTACTGTAACTAGGTTTGGGGCTCCATGACACTAAAATATAACACAGAAGAGCCAAGAGAGTGACCTCAAAGTCAGCCCAAAATGAGGGGCCATGCTTGCCTTTCAGCAGTGCTGATAAATGAGTGTAAGAGGATTGTAAATACAGTGTCCTGCTCCAAACAATTAACAGAAGAAGAAAGATTACGTGTTCTGTACTCGCCCAGTGCCACTTACAAATGGCAATTGTGTCAAATCAATCAGGTTCAGATTACGTAAAAGTATAGGAGTGTCAATTTAAAAATGATAAATCGTTTTATGACGAATTTGTCAGATTTCATATGTTAAAAAGATTAATTTGTAAATTATTTAGAACATAAAAATGACATGTATTAATCTAGACTCTGTAATTTCATGCCAAATTTGTGGTATATATGTTGTAATATGTGAATGTAGAAAATTGCCACCAGTAGTATTTATATCTTGGTGGGTTTAGGTTCAGCTCTTTCACACTTTAGTGGAATCACTAATGAGGGCATGCCAAGCATCTCTTCAAGATTCATATAATATTAACTATTCATCTCAATTGGTGCAATATGTTCATTATTCACACAGTTGCCTCCTAATTAGGCCAAACACTCAGTTGATGCTGCTTAATTATGTGTGCAAGACTGCAAGTTGTGTGTATGCGTCACAGAGAGAGAGAGAGAATACATAGCACAGTTTTGAATTGAGTTGAATTCATATCTTCCGATATTTGCCACCAACACATGAACTAATGATACGGTCAACATCAACTTAGTCATACAAACCCAATTATTTGTTTCTCTTTCACGGGTGGATTACACTTTGCACCCTAAAAATTTTAAAATTTTTTATTTTGTACTATCAAATATTAAAATTTTCATATTATACCTTTAATATATTAAAAGTGTTACGATGTCACCCATTCATTAGTTTTCGTTACTCATTCCGTCAATATCGACTGGGTGAATTTTGACGGAATAAACAACAAAAACTAACGAAAGAGCTATATTATAATATTTTTGATACATTAAAAATATAATTTATGAAATCTCATCTTTGAGGTACAAAGTAAAAAAATATTTAAATCTTTTAAAGTGTAAAGCGAGGTTTCCACTTTTTCCAAAGAAGAAGTGATTTGATTACATACCCAAAAAAAAATTGTCCCGTACCTCCAAATTGTATTACTTTAATCGGTGTTTTTATAATTTTTGTTAATTATTTTATAACAAAAAAATTTATAACTTTTGGGGTGTTTTTAATTTTTAAGATTAGTCATAAATACCATAAAAGTAATAAAAAAAATACGGTACCGAATTTTATTTTATTTTTCTAGACTTATCCTAAGGATGGGGGCTGTCCAAGATTTTATGCATGACATGGTGTAGGGTGTACTCCAAAGGTACCTCCATTATCAGTCCCCTCGGTAGGGTAGAGATTTGTTTAGGTTTAATTTGACCTAATGATTAAGTGGGTCGTGTGGGTGGGATAGATCATTCCCCAAGGATTCATGTGTTAAAACTGCTAGCGTACGTGAATTTGGATCCGAATTTATATCTATGTTGTTGTTTGTGTGGAGTTCAGCATCAAAGTTTGCATGGATCACGTGGTAGAATCTCAATCACACGATTCTATTGTGCAATTTTGTTAAATTAAATTTCAAATTTTAGAATTTATATATGATGAGTTAAATTCGAAGGTCCAAACCCACGTTGTAAGTCTAATTTAAATCAAGAGCCCAACTTATAAAGATTTAGTATTCAGTCCAAAAGGGTCCACGCTTGCTCAAGCTCGTTAAGAAAGTAAACAGAGTCAACCAAGAGCCTCATCCTTGTCACCTTTAAAAGAGTCAACACCCACCTTATCGTTTGATCGAATCTCATGGAAAGTATCGTAACTACTTCGTCTGTTGAGAAAAGATCGTCAATTCCACCAGAATAGTTACTTAGTTACTAATAACTTGTCCAAATCTGTTATGGGGAGACTATAAATTGTATGCTCTGCCAACACTTGAGAGGTAGATCACACTCAGTCTAGCACAACACTCTTCTCTCTCTCTCTTATAGTTTGTAACTTTCTATTCTCCCTATACACCTAAATTAATAAAATATCCAACGACTATAGTCATTTAAAGTGAACGTAGGTCACACTGATCGAATCACTATAAACCTTGTCTTCTCACTCTCTATTTATTTATTGCATTTAATATTATTTACTTGATAGATGGTATATAAACCAATTTATATATCATCAATATACGTATCAAATATTATCGTAAAATGATTTTACACATAACTTGTCGAGTTGAAATCTCCACCATCACCATGTTAGAGCAAATGAACTCATTGCAAGAGCAAGTATTTAATATATGAACCTTTTACAGGTTGATGTTGCTTCTCAATCATTTTTTCTTATGCAAATACACTTCACAAGTATTGAAGGTTTTGATTTTGAATCTTTGGTTACGAACGATGTTAATTATTTATCTCAAGGTGTCTCCAACTAATAAAAAGTAAATTATAAGAGAATTTTTATTATAAGCTCGATTTTAAATACCTAAGTTTATTTTTGATTTTTTTGAAGAGAAAAAGATGAAGAATTGAAAAAGCGAATCAAACCGACCTTCACGTCACAGATGAGTGCACCCTTGAAATGGGAGTAAATATTGACATTAATACGATGCATCGTTTAGTGTGTGGCTTAACATTATTACACAGTCAAAACATGAAACCCTAATCGATTCTTGTGCTCTCTCTCTCATGTGAGTGCATTTTTCTTTAGCCCTACTCCCAAAACAGCACCACCAGTTTTTCCTCGGTAACCAAAATCAATCTATCTTAACTTATTTTCACCATGGCATGGATAATTTAGCTGCCAACTTTACTGTGCAAAAGAGATGCTCCAATGAAGCTTCCTCTACATTCACGCCTGCCCTTTAACCCTAAACTATTTATATATCAGAATTCACCCCTTATTTTATGCAACAAGCATGTATAATCTGCTATAAGAAAAAAAGACATTGAATTGGTTGCTTAATCCAACCCTCTTTTACTTTTCACAATCTCCTAAGCTCCCTCACTCCTCCATCATCAAGTCTCTTCTTCCCTAGGCACTCTGCCAGCTCCTCCCTCCACCACCACCCCTATTGTGGACTCTGAAAACTTTGGTCCTCTTCAACCCACCAACTCGCCGGAAAATCTGACGCACATGGCCTGAGATTGCCGTGGCAGATCCCATGTGTTTGATGTTACTAAAATACCAGATATACTAGAATTTATTTTCCAATCTACTTTTAGTAAAATCTGAATAAAATAAAATGAGCAAAAATTAATTCATATGAGCAATACAAGAGTAAGACGACACTCATGCTCCCATGTAAGGACAATGTGGCTTTGAAGATGACTTTATGGTAAGTTATTTTGTCGACCCGGGTCATTATCAACGAAATTGATTATTATGAAGAAGATTTGAGGATAAAATAAAATCTATGATCAATTTAATTTTTAATGGTTAAGGGTATTCGAATTAATTTATGCGAATTTCTATTACTCTCTTTTCAATCCGGTCAACTGCAAGTCATTCACATTTGAATTCCTCTTGACCAAGATTTAAAAATATTATCAAGATTCAAATTTAAAATATCAAAATTTATAACTCATTTTTACTATCACTTCAATTGGACGAAGTTATAACTGGTGGCGAAGGTGAGATTAGTCTTTGTTTTGTCCCCATATCCACTCCCTATATCTGGAGGGGGTGCCCAATTTATCACTTTATTAAAGCTAAATTTCTTGATAAATGTTAATATTTAAATGCATCATTTGGTCCCTTACACTCTTAAGAAGAACAGTAGCACCAAAGGGTTTAGTAGAACTCAAACCTCCGCCACCACAACCTCCAAAACCACCACAGCTAGTAATGAACACAAAACTGCGTAATGGTCGCCATTGATGAAGTGAAATCTACCGGAAACTTGGATTTAAATTCTCCATCTTCACCACCATCAATAGGGACATGACAGCGCCGTCGCGTGGGGGCGGAATAGAGGGGAGATGTCATATTTCCGGTGAGAGACTCAACATCATTTAACTTTGATCACCATTTTCAAAACTGTGGTTTGTCCTCCATATAAGCTATATCAGACCTTACTTTGGCTCACATGCAACGATTTTAAACAGCAGTTACAGCACATATTGTGATTTCTAAGCATCCCCACCACCACCACAAAACCCTCTTCCACATGCATGTTGTCTCCTAGAGTGGACTTTCATCACCACTACAACCACCACCAGTACCACCATTCCCTCAAACCCATTTAGTGACCATCACTATCAGTCTATTTTGTAGGCTCAAATGGAGAGACCAAGCAACTTTATCACACTTTCGTCTTTGTTCTTCTCACTCTTTTTGTGTTTAGCCATTAACAGACCACTAGTCACCTCTCTCTCTCCTGATGGACAAGCTCTCCTCTCTCTCCTCTCAGCCGCCACCCCTTATGCTAAATCATCATCCTCTATACTCTCCTCTTGGAACCCATCAAGCCCAACACCATGTTCATGGCAGGGCATTACATGTTCTCCACAAGACAGAGTTATCTCACTCTCTCTCCCAAACACATTCCTCAACCTCTCGTCCCTACCCTCTCAGCTCTCTTCTCTCTCCTCTCTCCAACTTCTCAATCTATCCTTCACCAATATCTCAGGCTCAATCCCACTTTCCTTCGGTTCACTGACCCATCTTCACCTTCTAGACCTCTCTTCAAACTCCCTCTCAGGACCCATTCCTCCTGAACTCGGCCGCCTCAATTCACTTCAATTCCTGTTCTTGAATTCAAACAGATTCACAGGTAGAATCCCCCCACAGCTTGCCAATCTTTCTTCACTACAAGTCCTCTGTCTCCAAGACAATCTCTTAAACGGGTCGATTCCTTCACAATTAGGCTCCTTGGTGTCCCTCCAACAATTCAGAATTGGAGGCAATCCATTTATAACAGGTGAAATTCCACCACAATTAGGCCTTCTCACCAATCTCACAACGTTTGGTGCTGCAGCCACTGGACTCTCTGGTGTGATACCACCCACATTTGGTAACTTGTTCAATCTCGAGACTTTAGCACTTTATGACACAGATATATTTGGTTCAATACCTCCCGAAATTGGGTTGTGTTCGGAGCTAAGAAACTTGTATTTGCACATGAACAAGCTCACTGGTTCAATCCCTCCTCAACTGGGGAAGTTGCAAAAGCTTACTAGCTTGCTTCTTTGGGGCAATTCGCTCACCGGGTCTATCCCGGCCGAGATTGCCAATTGCTCATCGCTTGTTGTGTTTGATGTGTCAGCAAATGATTTTACTGGTGAAATCCCGGGTGATTTGGGGAAGCTTGTGGTTCTTGAACAGCTTCACTTGTCTGAAAATACACTTACAGGTTTGATTCCATGGCAGTTGAGTAACTGTACAAGTCTTACAGCTCTTCAGCTTGATAAGAACCAGTTATCAGGTCCAATTCCATGGCAAATTGGCAACTTGAAGTTCTTGCAAAGTTTCTTCTTGTGGGGTAATTCGGTATCAGGGACCATACCGGCCTCTTTTGCAAACTGCACCGAATTGTATGCTCTTGACCTTTCGAGGAACAAGCTTACAGGTTCAATACCAGAAGAGATATTCAGTTTACAGAAGCTAAGCAAGCTACTACTACTTGGGAATTCATTATCAGGAGGGTTGCCTAGAAGTGTCTCGAATTGCCAGTCTTTAGTCCGATTGAGGCTTGGTGAAAACCAGCTTTCAGGTCAGATTCCTACGGAGATTAGCCAATTGCAAAATCTTGTGTTTCTTGATTTATACATGAATCTTTTCTCGGGTAAATTGCCTTCAGAAATTTCTAACATCACAGTTCTTGAGCTGTTGGATATGCACAATAACTACATAACCGGTGAAATACCGTCTCAGTTAGGAGAGCTTGTTAATTTAGAGCAGCTTGATCTCAGCAGAAATCGCTTCACAGGTGAAATTCCTCAGAGTTTTGGCAATTTCAGTTACTTGAACAAACTTATCCTCAACAATAATCTGCTTACTGGTTCAGTCCCAACATCCATTCGATATCTGCAGAAACTAACTCTTCTTGATTTGAGTTTCAATAGTCTCTCTGGTGCAATTCCACCTGAGATTGGCTATGTGACTAGCTTAACCATTAGTTTAGACTTGAGCTCGAATGGGTTTACTGGTGAAATCCCCGAGACTATGTCTGGTTTGACTCAGTTACAATCACTTGATCTTTCACGTAATATGCTGCATGGAAGAATTACAGTTCTGAGTTTTCTTACCAGTCTCACATCCTTGAATGTCTCTCACAACAATTTCTCAGGTCCTATACCTGTGACACCATTCTTCAGAACTCTAACTTCTAATTCGTTCCTAGAGAATCCAAATCTTTGTGAATCCATTGATGGGTCTACTTGTTCCTCAAATCTGGCTCGAAGGAGGGGATTAAAATCTGCGAAAACTATAGCATTGATCGCTCTGATTCTGACATTTGTAGCGATGGCAATTGTCCTTGCATGGATTCTTGTGACTCGAAACCATAAGTACACAGTCGAGAAGTCCTCGGGCACATCAACCTCTTTGTCAGGGGCAGATGATTTTTCTTATCCATGGAGTTTTATTCCCTTCCGAAAGCTAAATTTCACAATGGACAACATTTTGGATTGCCTAAAAGAAGAAAATGTGATTGGGAAGGGCTGTTCTGGTGTGGTTTTCAAGGCAGAAATGCCAAATGGAGAGTTAGTTGCAGTGAAAAAGCTATGGAAAACTACGAAAGATGAAGAACCAGTAGACTCTTTTGCTGCAGAAATTCAAATTCTCGGACATATCAAACATCGAAACATAGTGAAGCTCTTGGGTTACTGTTCCAATAAGAGTGTTAAGCTCCTTCTCTACAACTACATTTCCAATGGCAATCTGCAACAGCTCTTGCAGAGTAACAGGAACTTGGACTGGGAAACCAGGTACAAGATTGCAGTGGGGTCAGCTCAGGGTCTTGCATATCTTCATCATGATTGTGTGCCGGCAATTCTTCATAGAGACGTGAAGTGCAATAATATTCTCCTAGATTCCAAGTTTGAGGCGTATTTGGCAGACTTTGGACTTGCTAAGCTGATGAACTCTCCAAATTATCACCACAAAGTGTCCAGAGTAGCAGGGTCTTATGGATATATTGCTCCAGGCAAGTGCCTTTGAAATTTGTTTCATTAGCTAAGAAGCATTGCCATTTTTTAACATTTAAGCTGCTTAAAGGTTTTGTCTGTGGATTGTGTGAAGTTTGTATAGAGATTGTTGAATCTTTTGACTTGATGTGAAATCCCATGTTTCTTCCATCTAAGGGGATTAAGAGTTCTACTTGATCAGATTGAAGAAAAACTCTCCTTTTCTGTTCTTTTTAGTATAATTAAACATTCACCTTTTACGATGATTGTAGTTTAAAATCTAAAACTGTCAAATGATTGTTGCAGAATATGGATACACCATGAACATAACAGAGAAGAGCGATGTCTACAGTTATGGAGTGGTTCTGCTAGAGATACTAAGTGGCCGAAGCGCTGTTGAGTCCCAGTTGGGCGATGGGGTGCACATTGTGGAGTGGGTGAAAAAGAAGATGGGAAGCTTTGAACCAGCCGTAACAGTAATTGATTCAAAGCTCCAAGGATTGCCGGATCAGATGGTGCAAGAAATGCTTCAAACTCTAGGAATTGCAATGTTCTGTGTGAATTCTTCACCGGCTGAACGGCCGACCATGAAGGAAGTGGTGGCATTGCTAATGGAAGTGAAGAGTCCACCTGAAGAGTGGGGGAAAACTTCTCAACCTTTAATAAAACAGCCCTCTAATCAGAGCTGATTCTTTTTTCTTTTTCTTCTTCTGAGGTTATTAGTGATCGAGTTTCTTTTAGAGTGCAAGACAAAAGGGAGTACTGTTATTGTGAAAATGAGAGGGAGGCTTCTGGTAGTGCCATTCTTGGCTTAAGCTTATGGTCTTTGGTGGGGTGGGGGTGTTGTACAGTTTTAGAATCATCAATGTATTTGATTTGCTTCATGTCCTGTCCTGTCTTTCTTGTTGCTCTTGCAACTTTTAGTCTTTGTTTGGTTCACAAAGAAATTGTAAAAGAAACCAAAATGTAACTATGCCGAGAGAGGAAAAAAACCAGATAACCAAAATCACATGCACCTCCAAAATTCTTAATGAGTGCATGGACAAATGGATATAAAGGACAAAAAAAAATGAATTAATGCAGTCTTGGGCATGGTACAAAGAATTGACTGAGCCATTTCTGATTGGTTCTACATTCTGTGTACACCACAAGTCTCACTCGACTCGACTAAGTCATTGACATCAACTCGCAGTGGATCGCAAGATTCTTAGAGTGATGTTGATATAGTTGGAATTTCTCATCATGTCTTAACTTCTTATTCTATCTACCATTTCGTGTATATTGACCGACACCATTTCACGATGTCACAACTGATGCGTCTCAATATCTAAATGGCCAATATGACCACCTTAACCTATGGTTTTGGGTGCCGTAAAAGCTGAAAGCAAAGAATTCAACTCCCTGCAAATATAACAACAAATATGTAGGACCAATGATGCAACATAAAGTGAGACAAACAGGAACAAGGCATGCCTCCTTCCCATTCCTCACATGCCTGCTAAGACACTAGAATTGTCTTCTCAAGCTTCCACTTGCACACTCATCTGGATTTTATTGGGAAGAAAGTCTTGGCCAAAAAGAAAATCTAACAGGATTATGATCAGCAACATGTCAGTTTCTTCTCCCTCACCATCTGAAAATCTAGCCATGCAACATTGTCTACTGAACACACAGAGAGAGGTGGGAGGAGAGGGGCTCAAATGTGTTTTCATCAAGAAATCCTAGCTGTCACTTCAAAGGAAGCTCCTTGACATTGAATCGTTAACGCAACTAGAATACAACATAAAATTAGATGATTTTTTGTCTTACTTAAGTTACCTATTTTGTAAACGAGTAGACTCACGACCTAATTAATAAATTAATTGGGTATAAGTGAAGTCAATAAAAAAAAATATACGACACGACTCATTTGTATATTGGTTATACATTATTTATATACGATATGAACTCAATATAACATGATTTATTATACATGAATTAATAAATGAATTAAATAGGACTGAAGTGTCTTTTAACACGACCCGCTAAAACTCCACCATTGACAGGCCCAATTGTGATCCTCGAAAATCATATGCTTTCAGAAATTGTTTTATGAAAATGGGATTACGAAGGAGTCCGGGCTCCATATGCTTCGGGAAGCTGTTGTGGCCGGTAGGCTGGCCCAAACTCCCAGAAGCCCAAAGGAGCCATGGGTCAGCATGATGCGTCACGTGTTTTATGTGCCCAATCTTGAAAGTTTAGGCCACCTAAAATTAAATAAAAAGAGAACAGAATTCATAGGTTATATGATGAGAGCCAATCCAATGGGTGGCCCACTAAAAACCCATTAAGACCAGCCAGAAGGATAGGTCACGGGCTGCTCTTTTTTCGGAAGAACTGACCAGGCCTGTTCGCCAACCATGAACTTAACCTTTTACCCTTCATAAGAAGTTTGGAATGGTCTCATTGGCGGGGATCAAAACCACACTTTTAGGTAAGACTCAATGTTGTATCAACTTCAACTTCACTGTTGCAGTCTCCACTTCAACTACTACCCCAGAGCCAGCAAGAGGTGAGGCCGTTTTTTGTTGTGATGGAGCGTTCAATCCTAAGAGCAAAAGGGCAGCATGCAGCGTTGTTCTAATGGACCAGGAAGGCCACCTCCTAGATGGCTCAGCAAAGCCTATTCCAGCTGTGTCTGGTCTATTCTCAGAGGCAGAAGCAGTGCGTCTGGAGTGTTTGTTAGCAAGCTCCAGAGGAATGAGGAATGCTGCTATTGAAAGTGATAATTTGGAAATCATCAAACTCGGCTCATCTGAGGATGCCCCCCCATGGGAGATCAGTCCCTTCATTGACGATATAAGATCTTATGCTAGGTTACATGAATTTAGCTTTTTTACACAAGCTAAGAGCCTATAACAAGGCAACTCACTGGGTTACAGCTGCAGTCATGAACAACTCACTTCTTCCGAGTTGGATGCACTGCCTCCCACCCGAGTTAAAAGCTTCTCTTCTTACAGACTGTGATTCAGATTTTCCTACTTATATGAAAGAGATCATGTTCTATGTTCAAAAAAAATGTTGTATCAAGTTCGTTTTATGTATAAGTCGTATTGATAATCATGTAAAATTGGGTACACGTCATGTCGAGTTCAGCAATGTAAAAATCGTGTTTAGCGGGTTCATGTTGGCCTATTTATTTGATGAGTCTTAACGAATTCTTCCCATTATTATTCAAATACAAATTCTAAACCACAATTAAAAAGAAACATATTCCTGCCTCTGAAATGCATGCAAGATTAGATATCAAGCTGAAGAAATGGCAGTACAAGGAAAGTATTGTTCCAAGTACCACCAAGTCTCCATAAGGATCAGAGAAAAAGGGGCTTTGTCTAGTTTAATAGCTGAGTGAGGCCATGATGGAGGATTTATACATTGAAGTAGAACAATAAAATACTTGATCATGTAATACTGCTATAGTTATCAGCCTCAGTAAATGTTTATGTTCAACAAAGTAGTCAATGTAAACCTCATGGTCACAGAACAGAACTTTCCAAATTCTTGTACAACTTGAATTCAAATATCATCTTCAAAATGGAATGTATAACTTTAGGTGAAGGCTTCTATATTGCTCCCTTCCACCTTGAAGAAGATACCACGAGGATACTTGGTGAAGGTCCATGACAATCCATTGATGTTCAACAATGGGAGCGAGAGTTTCAACCACCAGTTGCAGCGGCAAACACCATTGTACTATGGGTTCGTTTACCTGGATTACCAATTGAGTTTTACGACCTTCTCATCCAAAAGAAAATAGGACTCAAACTTGGTAGGTTAATCAATATTGATGCACAAACGAAGACATCTCTCAAAGAAAATTTGCAAGATTGTGTGTTCAAATTAATATCTCTCAACCTCTTGCCTCGCATTTTTTCATTGGCAAACACAAGCAGTGGATCAAGTACAAAGACCTTAAAAAGATATGTTTCACCGGTGACCATTCTGGACATGACACTAATGTTTGCAGTGCATCACTTGCCAAAGTTGCACATTTTCAACAAGTGCAAGCGACACAAAGCCACCATGGACAAATTTACAAACTCCAAAACAAAGAGGAAGAACACTTTGGTCCATGGCTTATAGCACAGCATAAAAAGTCAAGAAGCAAAACCCACAAGGAGAAACTAGTGACTAAGCCCCATTTCAAAACGTCACATAACAACTATATTCCCAAGGGCAAAGCTGCTTGGAGGATGAACGATGAAAGTAGCTCACAATTAGCGGCATCTAAAATGCAAAATCAGCCCAATGTCAAGGATTGTGAAAGTAGCACAACTGTAGAGTGTTCAGACAAGCAACAAGCATGTTCTCCTACATCAGAGAGAGGAACAATCATGTCTAGAGATAAGTCCTCATCCATGTCCAAAGAAGTTAACTTAGCAAATCAATTCAGAGTGTTGCAGGAAGAAGGATAGTCTAAAACTTGCATGGCTCTACCTATCCTACTTGAATCCATTAATGAGAATGCCACCAAACAGGTTGGGATGGAACAATTGAATCACTCATCACTAGAATCAAAGGACAATCAAATGGAAAGTAAAGGAGATGAACCCGATAAAGAGGATGGTTTGGACAGCTAGTCTCTTGGGATTCTGAAGATTCGGTGGATAAATGTTACATGGAATTGGAATCTGCAAAACTTGCACTAGCCAAGATGTTTCAAGGATCCGGAACAAAATCTTGCAAATCGCTATTAGGGATAAAGTCTTTTGGACAAATTGCCATTAAGCGACACAAATGATGCTATAGTGGAAATGATGGAATAGAACTATTTTCTTCATGCCTTGGTTTACCTAGTCTCTAGCAGATGTTTCTTTTTTATTTTTAGACTAGGTGGTGAGCTACATTGTAAGGCCTAAGGGTGTGTATCAAGTCTCGATGCTTGATTTTATCTTTGTAACTTTCTTTTCTCTTAATCTCAAATTATATTTAGCAAAAAAAAAAAACAAACCTGGTGACAGTGTTTGTACTTTAGTAGAAAACCATTTTCATCTGGAGACTATTTGGGCTCGTTTGTTAGAGGTATTATGAGGGGATTAAATATTAGATTGTACTATTTTTTATTTAATCGAACCTAATACTTTGTTTGGTAAACAAATTTGATATCGTATTAATTTCAAAAACGTATACTAATCGTATACTTATCGTATATTTTTTATACATTAGACCTATATTGTGGAGGTATTTTAATACCAACAAAAGAGTTGGTATTATAATCCAACTCAAACGTATTATTTTACACATTTACCATTATAACCCCTCAACTGATAAAATCAAACTGTTATCAATGTAACAAACACTGATTTTGGATATTTTTGTTAATTCAACATTAATACGATAAAATAATTCCTTAACCAAACAACCGATTAGATTAAATAACTATTATTCAACGTTTATGTTGTATATTACCAAACACTAGATAAAATTACGTATTATTCTAATACCCTATTTACTCGTATCTTTTGTCCTGCTGCATTGTATTAGACCGGATTATTTTATCTAATCAATTCATTTCTAATACGGCAACCAAACGAACCCTTTAAGAATTATCCGGAGATCTGTGCAAGGGGTATTTCTAAAATTGTTTTGTTGCCTTACATTCTTACATGAGAGGGTTCTGAAGAATTTCCTTGGAGAGTTTTTCAATGATTAGGTATATATCTCAAATTTGCTTTTAGGCTCCACATGTATATAGGGAAAGTAACTCTCAAGAAAATCTTCAACGAGTTGAGATAAAGATAGCTTATAAATACTTACTAGCAGACCTAGAATCCGCAATAGTTATGTTCAACCAAAGCAAACATTGCTGGACTGATAACATTGGTCATTTAGAAAACAAATTGGAAAGCATATGGGCAGAGGAGGAATTCAATAAAAGGCCAAAGAAACTTTACTATACAGGATCCTATGCACTAGGAATTGAATAGAAGAAGCTTAAGAACACGTGAGATGCCAACTATTTTTCTGCAAAACTTAGAGTAGAGAACGTAAAGGCATTGACTTTTGGGATATAATGGAGAATTATGCTTAAATCAAACCTGCTGAGCAATTATGAACAAGAATTATGCTTAAAACAAACCTAAGTTTTACTATCACCAAGTTTAGCAACTCCTAGAGGCAATCTAGATTCATATTTCATATTCAAGGAGCACAGACCCATGAAACATTCTTTAGAGGCCACCATTTTAAAATGGGTTTTTGCAATCAATCTATTGACAAACAAATTTACGAATACAGATAGCAACACAGATGACATAACTAAGGATGATGTCTCTACAAAAGTGATCAACAAGTATGAAGTATTAACTTCAGTAAGTTCACACATCCCACATATTCCAAGGCTCACCTAAGGTTCTGTATCGCATTTAATCCATTCGCAATTACAAGTCACAAAAATAATCCCAATAAACAAACAGAATCTTTGACAGAAACATTTCAGTAAACATCAAAGCATTATTCAGTGCAATGGCCGCAATTACCAACTACCAGTTGAACCTCAATTATGAAAAATAACGTCATTGAAGAACTAGCAATCAATTATCCTCAAAATTGCATACCACTACAAAAGTCGACAAAACTCACTAGTCATTCAATTGTTCAAGTTCAGCCTTCAATTGCTCAATCTTGAGCCCCATCGACCTTCGTATCGCCCCTTTTTCGCTCTCCGGCAGTTTTTCCAACAATCCCTCAAACATATCTAGCACTTCTTTCACTGCAGCACGAGCACACTCAGCTTCTTCATCAAAATAAACAGTTTCCTTGGACTCCATGGCCGTCTCTATTTCCTCTCTTGCCTCTGCGAACTTGAGGTTAATTTCGTCGACTACTTTAGTCGTGTCAACACTGTATTGCCTCCTGTTTTGGAAAATCCCGAGCTGGGTCGAAGAGTTTGAGCTTGTCGGGTTGAGAAAACAGGGGATTTCCTTGAGTTTTGGTGATGACAGTGAGTATGGAAGGCATTGATTTGAGAGAGTTGTGAGATATTCTAAGTGAAACGAAGATTTAAGTATTGCAGATCTCTGAAAAGGGTGTCTAACAAACAGTTTACCCAAAGATATTGATGAACGGTGATGCATTTTGTGAGAGAGAGAGAGAGAGAGAGAGAGCATAAATCTCGAAACCCTCAACTACTTCCCAAATGAGCTAATCTGAAGTTTAGAAGACAACCTTAACTTTGGGCCTTTTGACAAGGAGTGGGCCTAATCAATTGAGCCTCTTAACAGAGTGAGCCCGAATCAATAGGCTCAGATTACTCTTATATTGGGCCTGTTAACAAAAAGTGGTCCCTACTTGGCCCATATTGTGCTCACCTTCCTCCTTGACTTCAATGAAGCTAATAGAGTTGTAACATCAGCCTAAAATGACAAGAGAGTTTAAGGTCACCAAAACCACAAACTAGCCTAACTAGTACCATCAACTAAGTCAAAGTCCCCTTTAAACCTTAACAAATCCACCAAACCTAACAACCCCAACGGGCATGTATGAGACTATATAAACTCTCTCAAAGTCTTGCACATTGATCCACCATCAAATTCCCGATGGCTCGGCCACTTCTACCGGAGTTCCGGACAACGAGCTTGCCACGAGCAGGCTTTGCCGTTGGGAGTCTTCTTCTGTGTGCATTTGCATTGTTCATGTGTGCTACTCATTTGCGCAAATGGCGTAAATGGAGATCTTGCTATGGCTACCACGATGAAGATCCTGTTATTCAACTTAACCCTGAAGGACTCATCGGTGAGTATCAAATTGGAAATAATGACGCAAGCACGTATAGTGGTGAAGTTTCGGTCTGGAAGAAGAACATACTCATGGGTGGGAAGTGTCAGCTGCCTGATTTCTCCGGTGTCATAATCTACGACTCTGCCGGAAATGTTGTTCCCCCTGCCAGAAAACTTGCTCTTCCATGGAAGTGATCTAGTGTTGAAAATTGTCTTAAGTATTCCTGCTCTATTATTATTGCTTAAGCCCACCCTAATGATATTGTTACCACGTTCATGATATATCAACCATCATCTCAAAGGACATTTAAGAGCATCGACCATGGCCTCGTAGAACACTATTGAATGATAAGTACAAAATAGAGAAAATTGATCACAACTAGAAATTCAAATCATTGACATCGCATAACAATATCACAAAATACATTTCGAGTGGTTGATATTGACTAAGATGACTAGAACGATTGAGACATCTCCAAGTCAACCACAAGTTGAGTGTCGGTTATACGAAACGGTGAACAGGATGGGAATGGGAAGTGCTGAGCTGTATGGCCAACTTTTTGAACACTGCCTGGTAGGCTGGTAGCCATGGCATTTCGAGTTTTCAACTACATGCAACTCTAATTTAGCTGCAAATCCACAAAGGTCTACAAGCCAAAAAAAAAAAACCACAGAGTTCTTTCAGTAGTAGATGGCCTGAGACATTACACAATTTGAGGGCCAAACAAAGCCATTGCATAATCATCAGTTTCACAATGTGAAACAAAAAGAAAGGCAAGCGAAATTTACAATACATTTTAGTGCAAAAAAAGGCAGATTTAAATGCAAAAATCATTCAAAAATGTAACCAGATCAACTGACCTTCAATGATCCTTTCTTCTTAGACAAAGAACTCCGCCCCCTGAACCCAACAACATTTAGTTTTGAAATTGAAGATTTCTCAGTTGGCTTCTTCCCACCAGTCACTCCTCTTTTGGAGCTTCTTGCCCCTGATGCCTTGACTGGCTTGGTTAACTTAACTGGAGGCTTGGTTAACTTAACTGGAGGCTTGGTAGATTTAGCAACAGCGGATACTTTAACAGATTTGGTTCCTGAGGTTCTTTTGGCAGATACATCCTTGCCACGAACATTGTAGGATTTTGCCCATGCATCTTTAGTCTTGTTTTTCTGATTTGAAACTTCTACCAACTTTGTATTCTTTCCTTTCACATTTATTCGGGTCCTGGCAATGTCCCTCCTGACATTATCTATGGTAAGAGACTCCAGGCTCTCATTCTTCATCATGGCCTCCTCAATTCGATTGGCCAAAATTACATCCTTCTTAGCTACCAAACTTGTCACCTTCCCTATAAAATGAAAACAATATTTTGATCGAGCAATTCAAAATGTAAATATAACAAATGGCTTTCTAAGCCACAAAGAAAAGCAGCAATCAGATTGCTAACTCCCAACTTATTATACACACGCTTTCACGGTGTTCATCCCTACTAGCTCAATACATTACGTGAATTAATTTAATCCCTAGATAAGTACTACGAGAAATGAATCCAACAAACACTCCTGAACCTTTTCCAAACTTTTGTCAAGGGAAAGGCAACAGCTAATTAGGTACAAACCTTTCGCACCCATACGAGCAGTTCTTCCAGTGCGATGGAGGTAATCAATCTAAAAGGTCAAAAAAGAAGGCTTACACTTTCCGATGTACAAGAAATAAATTGAATGGCAAGAAAATAAGAACACTTATTAACAAAACCATTACATCTGATGCTTACAGAGTTCAAAGGAAAATCAAACATGATAACATGATCCACATCCAAGTCAAGTCCCCTAGCAGCTAGGTCTGTGCAGACCAACGTGGGGCAGTCTCCATCTTCACTTTTAAACTTTTTGAGGTTCTCAACCCTAGGTTCAAAGGACGTAGTGCCATTAGGTACAACAGAAAACAGCTGCCAACAGAAAATATCTTACACGGTATTTCAGAAACAGCAACCCAAAGCCTTTTGACTGATTGCATCATTCACACAGAAGGTGGCTAACATGTTTTCAATTAAGAATGTTTAGGTTAGCTTCACTTCAGAAAACAATACAAAACATTTATGAACACATAGATCGATGTTAATTTATATAGAACCACATGATTCACGATTCGGAGACTATACATCTGTTTCCATAGCATATTGAGCTCAAGAACCAGGTTCTTCTCTATTAGAGCATCCAACTTAAATCAATCGGTTATGAGTGGAGAGGTCCCTTAACCATATAAACCAACTTTGGGTGGCCATAATTATTAAACGTTCGGATACAAGCTCCCTTTACACGAGACTCAGGCTTGCATCTGAAGCTAACAAGTGAACAAACAAAGAAACAAACATATTGACATGGCTCACTTACCACCTAAGACCTAACACCGATACCATGTTAAAGGCATCTAACTCAAAACTAATTGGTTATGACTAGAGATGACCCTTAATCCTATATACCAACAGGGAGTAGTGCTAACTATTCAACATGAAACACAAGCTCTCTTTATACTCTCCGATACGCAAATTTAACCTTGCCAGTCTATGATCACCTATGTGCTTATCCCTTACCCATTAAATAGTTAACTTGTATGTCATAACTATGCAAGAACAAAGGAAACTTTTATAGAAAACCAAAAGATAAAAATAAGAAGCAAGAGTAAAAAGAGGACAAGGAGTCCTCTAAAAATGTAACCTAGAAATGAAAAATCAACTGGCTATTAAAAAGGAAATTTTATTGATGCACTCCAAAAATTGCAATTACAGCCAATAATGTTAATGTTCCGTTTGGTATGATAGAAAAATGGAAGGTTGGAGGGATAAATAAAACATCATGTTTGGTATGGAAGGAAAAAGAAGTGGATGGATTAACTTTTTTTTAACTCACCAAAATCAATCCCTCTAAAATCGGAAGGAAAGTTAATTATTTGTGTTGAGATGTATCTTATTTGTCTATATATTATGTATACATTAATTTCATATAAAAATACAATGAAAAAAAAAAATATATATATATATATATTTAAAAAATTTAAATTAAAAAAAATATTTTTTTCATCTTAACTAGGGGTAAAAATTTTCGACTCAACAGAATGACACGACTCAAACTCGATACGAATTTGATTATAACTCAACACAAACTTGAAAATGACCCGACACCCGAACAAGAAATATAAAAAGTTCATAATTTTATGATTCAACACAAATCTGACACGACACGACTCGATTGTCACCCTTAATATTGGACAAAAAAAAATTGGTCATTTTTATTATTCATCTATCCAACCAAACACAAAGGAAGGAAAATATATCATTCTTACTTTCCATCCTTGAAGGATAGAAAGTGTATCCCTCCTACTCTCCATCCTTCCTACTAACCGGAGCATAAGTCTCGAATCTCACCGTTGCTCTGCTGGCACCTCTCCATGATAATTGACAGTAGAGATTTGATTTTCATTAAGAAAATGATCCACTGCACGGCTAGAATTCAATGTGTTACAGAACACCATCACTCTGTTTCCCTTTGCTAAACTTGGCTCGAGAACCTGCATTATGATGGTTACATTGCCCAAGGTGAGTTATACTTCTTTATTAGAAGACAACAAAGTGAACACAAACATGGTTGTGTTGCATGTTTTTAGGCTATGACTCTGCAGACATGCATTCATATCACCACTGTCAGGGCTCCAACACTTTGGATAAAATGATTAAGTCAATTAAAACAGGGAGGATGAGATCTGTCAGGTGCATAAAATTTTTGGCCCACTAGAGGCAGAAATTGTCATAAGCCTCCAAGACATCAGATGGATAGCATAAAGTACTGTCCTGAATTTAATTGACTAATTTCGACCATGTATTTTACCTTCTGAAGTACGCTGGGGAAAATACAGGAAAGACCCATAAAAATTGTTCAATCCAAAAACCTAAGAGTTTTTTGTGTCTGTCCAAAAAGTGCAGTGGGGAGAACTTTCAGGAAAAAAAAACCCCAACGGTAGAGTTGCATTATAACAACGTTAGAGAAAATCAGTGTTACAACTAAATTAAACTTCATTTTTTTTTAACAGTAAATTAAACTTCATTCAAAATAAATTTTCAGGTAAACAAGAACAACTTATAATATGATAAAAAAATGCACATAAAATTAATAGAAACAATTGGGTGGGTATGCATTGGATTCGACTGTGACAGAGAGAAAGAGAGGGGCTTCTCTGTTGCCATCACGTCGTTGACAAGCACCAGTAGCCATTAACAGCCCTAATATGTTAGAAGAATCTTTGACCAAGGTTTCAGCTGCTGATGAGAGAAAACAAAAAACGCAAGGGAAACAAGAAGAACCATATCAAGGAATGTTTCCACAGTTGATTTTCTCTCTCTCTATCTGTCTCTTTCATTTGGTTGGTAGTCTACTTGGTAATAAGTAATAACATTATTGAACTTCCATATTTTGAGGTCTTTTTACGGTGGTAATGATGACACTTTGGAACGGATTCAGTGATTCCCAGGTGCAAGAAAAGGAAAATCAAAAGGAAGAGGGGCACACACACACACACACAGAGAATGCAAGTACATATATTCAAACATCACTTATAGTGTAAATCATGGGGGTCTAAAACATTGTGCATTCACATTTTTACATATCCAATGTTACATATCATACTCTCTAACTGTGCATATAAACAAGAATAATGACAAAGCTCAACAGATGTAACCTGCAGCAATGCCTCCAGCTTGTTTTCAGAACCCGAAAGTTTGATAAAATCATGACGAGCAGTAGCAATCTTCTTATGCAGGGTTGAAGTACGCAAATGCAGGATTCCCTGGAACTCCTCATCAACAAGTGTTTGCACTGCCTGCAAAAGCTCACACAAGTCAACTGTCTAACATTCTCAAGATCTAAACATGCCAAAGCAAATCCAAGGGATAAACATCACTAGAAGATGATGCAATCAAGAGTACAAGAATTTGCTACCAGATCATAAATGATACCAAAATGGGTTCATTCACATTTCACAGGAAGGGGAAAACCAATTTAATACCCTTTACTCTTTAGGGTGACTATGGAGAGTCCATTCCCAACTAAATCATATCTATTTTGGCAGTCAAACTATAAAGATCATTCCACCACCTGATGTGAAAGAAAGGCCTGCTATAAAAATCGAGATTATAATACACCTCTTTTATCCAAATCCCTGCACTAAGACCACTGGAATACCTGTAAACATTTTCTCAATTCCCCTACAAAACATTTTACTGGATCTACTACAAAATACTGCATCAGATTTGCGGGGCGCAAATTCCTATGACTTATGTTTCCATTAACTGTTTGCGGTTAGAGATGCATAAATCTCTTTCCACCAGCATAACAAATGTTCCCTTGAAAGATTCCCTTTGCCTGTATAATTTGAAATCAATAAATGGAAAATTCTAGAGGAACATTTTACGTAGGTAACTTAATGTTTATTTTTCAATAAATATATTTATAATGCACTCCTCGTAAGAAGCTATAAGCATGTGAGGCTTCAGCATGTCTAAGAACTTTATAATCCAACCTAGGCATTTGATGAAGTTAGGCCATGAGATTTTTGATGTTCCAATCATGGATACAAATTTAGCATCAATTTGAGCTACCTTCTGAAAAAAAAGGAGATTATCAATGAGCTAAGCAGACGAGAGGAAAAAATTAGAGACTGAAGAGACCCTGCAAGATTAAAAAGAAGCTGTCCTTCCATTCATTTCTCAATAAGAAACTTTAATCGAATAAGATCAGATATGAGGAAAAAGAAATTCTTAGATGTGATGTCCTTGCCTACAGTTACACTTTAAACAAGTACATCAGCGTTGACTGTTGAAGATGTGAAGATGAGTAGTCCAAGCAAGTTTACATACAAAAGCAATGTATTGAAATCACTGTGAAGCAAATAACCATATCCATAATTTCCACACCAACAGACAAGACAATTGAGTAAAACCAAATTGTTGCCAAAATCAACAAGATGTTTATGGAGTAGTAAAAAAAATAGAAACAAATAAAAGAACGAGATCCTCCCCAGGTGGCTGCATTACTGGACTTGTTTTAGATGCTTATGGGATATGGAAAGAAAATACTTTCACTCAGATTTTAGGAAAAAAAAGAATGGTCCAAAATACGATTCAATTGGTTTCATTTTCACGTGATAGTGAAATTCGTAAGAAAGCAATGGACATTCGTAATCAAAAAAGATGCATATCTTCACAATAACAAACTTAGATGACAGTCCAATTCATCATACCTTTGTCATTGTTGCAGTGACCAAAACAGTTTGAAATCCTTGGCCATCAGGTTTTGATGCGCGGTTTTTTAAAGGGCCTAGAAACTTGCGAATATCAGGACCAAAACCACGATCAAACATTGTGTCTGCCTCGTCCAACACCTACTAGAGATTGCCATCATCATTAAGTAACGGACAGCATTCAACAGTACTCTTTCACTTTTCATAAGTTGGCATTTATGAAACAGTATGACACCGAATACTCTTCTATATAAAAACATTAGGGAAACACAAAACCAGGAAGATAATCACCAAGTATCTGATGTCACCATAAACCAAGTTGCCCTCCTTAATATGTTGAAGAACCCTGCCTGGGGTTCCCACTACCATGTCAATTGGAACATTCAATGAATCCTCTTGGGGTCTTAAACGGCCTCCACCACTTACCATGGTAGACCTGAATCGTGCATGATGGCTGACAGATTTTGCCACACGAAACACCTGCAATGCCCAGTTGATATTAGTTGTGGGATAAGAATTCCTCATAGTGGAGCTCTAAAATGTATCTATATGGAGGTGTATAAGAACCTGCTCAGATAGCTCCCTTGTGGGACAAAGTACAACAACTCGAGGACGTCTAGGCTTCATCAGAATACCATTTAATGCTTCATCTTGTCTCAACAACTAAAAATCAATAGACTGTAAGTATCTTTCTCTTTATCAACACAACTGTGGGCAATTCCGTTAACTAAAAGCATAAGAAAACTCATAATCAAACAGAGTGCCCGATTATCTCTTAATCTAAATGGATACTTGGGCACATTTCACTTAAACTATACAATTAATGGAAGAGGTTAAAAATAAATGGTGGGTGGGTACTTAGTAGAGCACATTTCACACATATTTGTTAACTCTTGCAAAGAATATTGAAATCTGTCCTATTCGAAAAGTGCAGACAACTCCCCACGTCCTGGTTTTACCTTAAATCTGCATTTGTAGCTCTAAATATACCTTTGTAACTGAGCAGATAAAAATCAGCCTTGAGTTTCAACCTTTATTTTTGACTCTAATTCAAAAACTTATATTCACAAGGCAAAAGTAGCATTACAACCTTTTAAATGCAGGCTTTTGATGTGCTTTTTTGAAGCAGATTTTTCCTAAAGGAAATTGCTCCAATTTTAGGTCTAGCCTTTTGTGCGTTTTTGGATAAGTAACAATGTATGCGCGTAATCATTCATTCGTGAATGCACTTAAATTATTTTTGCTTTTTTTCAACAAGTCACAAAACAAACAAGATTTCAGAATTTATTTAACAAACCAATTAAATTCCAATGAATAAAAACTAAATGAAACAGAAAACTGAAATTCTTTCGATTGGGTTTTGATGCCTTCTTCCAAGCGGGCTTCTTTATGCCATTGTTCCAACTTCAGGTCTAGATTTTCTGCCATTCTGTGTGCTTTCATATGCATATATACAGGTACATGTGTAAAAAGCCCCAGAAACTTCAATATCAAACAAATCAATTCACCAAATGAAAGTAAATCTATTGAGAAAAAAATTTGAACTTTTACCTGAGCAAGAGGTAACATATATGCGAGAGTCTTGCCAGACCCAGTGTGAGAACCCAATACCACACTCTTCCCTTCAAGTACAGCAGGTATTCCAATACTCTGAATTTCAGTAGGGACAGAAATACCCATTTCTTCTAAAGCCCCCCTGACTTCCTCACTCAACCCCAACTCCTCAAAACTCGATGCCAAAGGCTCTTTTATTTTCCTATTCTTTGACCCACCATTTTCACTCTCATTTACCAGTGATGGCTTGGGTGGTTTGGGTTGCGTGCTTTTAACAGAATCTTTGAGGTGTCTGAGTCTTAGTCTTTCTAAAAGCATCGAGTGTTTTACCGGTTCCACATATTGGTCTACTGTTCCCGTTGTGGAGATGGTGGTGGTGGAGGCGGCGGCGGCGAAGCATAGGGGTCTAAACCCTATAAAAACCCTGCGTTGTGGCGGTCTATGTAATGGATTGAGGAGAAAGACACGATTGACTGGAGAGAGGAGAAAGAACGAGAAGCGAGCTGAAGAGGACAGAGAAAGAGCTAAGAGAGTTCTTCCTGTTCCTCCCATTGCCGGTTGTTCGTTTACTTTGGATTTCCCTGTAGCACTGGTGGAGGGTGTTTGGAAGATGATCCCGTCTGGGTTTTGATAACCCCACACGAGAGATGGATTTTTATGAAAGAAAAAAATAATAAAAAAATATATATTTGTATTTGATTAATATGAAAATTTTATATAAAAATATTCATTCTATTATTTAAAAAAAAAAGAAAATGTATAAAAACAATTAATTGTTTAATTTATTTTTAATTATTAAATTAATCTAAAAGAAAATAAATATTTATTATAATTAAAAATTAATTTTTTTTAAAAGGTGGCTCATAATTTAATTTTGGGACAAGCTTTAGTAGAAACGTTTTTAGGCCAAATTATGTAGTTATCTAAATCTATGCCAATATTTTTTAAAATTAATAAATGATAAAACATTTTTAAAAAAATATGAATAAAATGGGAAGTTGGTTATAGATTATAATTTTTTTGCATTTTCTTATATTTTTTACAAGAAAAAAAAAGGTTGATTAATTATGAAAAAATCTAAGCAAGAAAAAAATTATTTTTTTCTATTGTTTTTTATTTTATGCTAACCAAACACATTAAAATTTTATTTTTCTTACATTTTCTACTATTATCCCACTAAACAAACAAATCCCAAAAAAAAAAAATCCCTCTTTTTTTGGGGTGCTATTCTAGTGTCCAAACATAACTTTTTGTAATACTTTTCTTATGAATAAAATATCAATGATATTATTCTTACTAATTTTCTTTATCAATATGGGCTTCTTGAAATCACGGTCATTGATTCAAACACATTTTTTTTTTAGTCAGGAAAAAAATGGTATTTCTCAATCTGTCAAAGATTGGTTAATTAGAACCTACATTCACCTTATCCGGGTAAATATTATAAGAAACAATTACACCACATCAACATTATTGCGAAGTATAACCATATAATATTAATTAAATACGTAGACAAGATAACCTTACTTTTTCTTTTTTATATAGGTGGTTATTATCCTACATGAAAGGGTAATTATTCAAATTAGTGAAGTCTATTTTTCATTTTTGGTTAGTTAATATTGGACGATTTCATCACGTGATAATGCTCTCGTAATGTAACCATTACACGCAATATTTACTCCACCATATCCCTACTTTTGCCTCCTTGCATAAGATTCTCTGCAGTTGGGGCATGTTTGTTACCCCCCCAGTGGAGAGGTAATGTCCCTTCTCTTGCTTATATTGCCACATTGTGGGCTGTCATATTTGCAGTTCCCCTGATGGCCTTGAATTGGATGTTGGGAATTCACTTTGCATAGTCTCAAATGTCTTGCAAGATAGGCTCAAGAGATTGACCCTCATTAGGTGTAGTTTTGCAATCTCTAAGGTCTCTTGTAGTTGGTCCAATAGTTCAAATAGTCGATTCTCAATTCTGTTCACCTTGCGACAATCAATGTTGATTTTCAAACGGGAGGACTTCCAATTCCATACTGAACTTGCCCAAAGGTACAGCAACAGTAAATAATACTCCATGTTTTCTTCCTCTTCCCCACAGATAGGGCATAAGGGTGTGCTTGACAGGTTCCTTCTCCACAAGCTCCATTTGCTACCTTCCAAATAAAGAATTAGATTTTTGGCCATGTTTGAAGCTGTCATATCATCTTCCAAAGCCCTTGCGGAACACTGTAAGAGGTTGAGGCAGTTGAGTTTCTTTGTCCACACTTTATAGTCTGAAGTTGCAAATGGTATCCACTCCTTATAGCGTAAAAGCCATTCTTCGAATATGCCCTTCTCACCCTATCATTTTGTTAAGTTTGGCTGAGAGGGATTGCTAGAATGTCCCTAGCAATATCAGCGGGAAAAGTAGACAGCTCCAAATATAGGTTCCATCTATTAAGGGGGTACTGTATCAGCTCTGGCACCCCTATGATGTCCATGTCCAAGAACCTAGCCATCTTCCCAGTAATTGAACCGACTTCCATCCCCTATGTGCCAGTAACATTCTTTGGATAGTAAATCCCTGTCCTCCTCTATACTTTTCCAGATCCTATGAGCTAGCAGCTTTGGGTTTTAATTGCCACAATGATTGCCCTGCGTAGTATTTAGCTCTGAGGACTTGGGCCCATAAAGATTGTAGAGTCTGAACCAGCCTCCATGCTTGTCTAGCTACCATGGCATTATTGAAGCTCTCTTTGCCCCCAGTTCTTCCAGTGAACTCCTCTTTCTCCCGAAGACTAAACCTTCCTACACTTGAGGTTATCTCTTGGCAGAATGCCTTCGAGTTATTGTTGTCTCAACTCCCAAATAAAATACTAGCTAACAAAGCGCAAGGGGCTCCAAGCCTCCAACGTAATCAGCTTGCATAATCAGCTAAAGGAGGACCATAAATCCACTCCAATAACTTTGAAATTGCCGGTTCCAACTCTGGATGGGCAATAGAAAGCTCTAAAATACACAAGTGCTCCATTTTGGAGGCCAGGTGTTTTCATCAGTAGATGAAGATAGGTAATCAGATTCATGTTGTCCAAACTTTTAAACACCCCCGACCTTAATTTTGAAAGTCTCTTCACCTCAAATTTACCACGCATTGCTGAGAGGGATATACGAGATGCACAAGAAAACGGCTACCATGATGAATATATACCCTCACCAAACAATATCATCCAATAACGCACATTAATGCACCATCAAGAATCTGATAGCTGAATGGACAATTCAAAGGTGAGAAGTATAGCCACATTGGAATGATGCTTAGAATACAACATTTATTGAGAAAGCAGTGAGACAAATATGTTCAGAGTGATGTGAAATAGTACTTTTTATTCCATGAGTTTGTTAGCATTTCCATGATGCTGGGAATACAATGTGCCAATGTGGTAATATAACAGAACAACAAAACAAAAAAGATAAGTAACAAAATGATTGCTCAAAGCAAATATTAAGCAATCGCAGTTCTTACATCTCAAATAATCATTGGTTTGTTCTCTAACAAGTTCAACCATATATGTTCCTCAAATCATGACCCAAGAGGTTACACGCTTCGATTTTGGGGTCAAAAAGGAAAAATCACTTATACAATTCAGTCTTCAAGACCCCAACAAAAGGCAAGTTTCTGTATAGCTCAGCATAATCAAATCCATAACCCACAACAAAATAATCTGGGCACTGCAAGACAAGAATATGAACAGTGAATCATTTTTCACACTTGGTCAAAACTCAAAAGCATTCAATACAAGGTCAAATGATTCTGAATTAATGAGAGTTACAACAAGCACTTTAACGAAGACAACCAAAATGAAGTCTTGGAAGTAGGGGTGGTAAGTGTCCACGCAACACAACCCAAACATGGAATTAGTAAGTTTGGATTGCACCTAAATGGGTTAGTCCTAAAAACCTCCAACCATCACTCAGTCACTCTATCCGTACCCATCCACCGATCACCTAGTAGGCCCCCAACCCCTGTCAGCCACCCCCACACATGCAAACACACACTTCGATGGGAAGCAGATGGAAAAAGGAAAGAGTGGTCCCAGTCCACTACTGCAATCTGAATCCAACATGTCAGTTATTGTTTTTAGCCATGCTGAATTAACATCCAAATGGGTTCTATTCTCTTCAATGAAAAGGAACTGTACAGATTTGGCGGAGTGTCCGCAGAGGTTTAAATTTGGTTGGAGGCGTCTTATAACAGTGGTGGTAAATGGTAGGTGGTAAATCATCCATCAACCCATGCCACACCAAGGAAGTGAAAGAGATTTCTAAGAGAGAGAGAGAGAGATCACCTCAAAGCCACAATAGAACTTTCCGTCACCCACAAGCTCAAAATTGACCTTTCGTCTTGATGGTTTATCAAGAAGAGTGCACACAGATATGGAGGATGCTCCCTTAGATTTCAAGTGACCAATGAGACAAAATAATGTGTTTCCCGTATCTACAATGTCCTCAACCTGAGCCAAAGAAAATATCAAAAGTATATGGTAGAAGATAAGTTGGATATCAGATAAATAATACCACACTGAGGAAAAATTTTACACGACTACTCGATATCAAAACAACTCAACAGAGTAATAGAAGAAAGTGGCAGCCATCATTGTTAACTCTGTCTAGTATTAGCTCCAGTGTGGTAACCTCTGAGTCTCAATGCACAGGGATTGGGCAGTCACATTGTCTAGTACTAGTTCCAACTATTGCATGGATTTGAACTTCATCAAATAAAAAATAAATAATTTCCTCCTAATTTGTCTAGAAGGAGGCCCACATGTTTGGAGTTAGAGTTGGTGGATGGAACAAAAACAACAACAACTACTGCAATTACATTGCCTTTCAGTTCCACTAGCAAATCTTTTAAACAACTAATAGCCCCTTCTTTGCCACAAATTAAATTCACACCCTTAAAGGTGTCTTTGCCATTTAGTTATATTATATTTAATGTATCCACTTATCTATGCATCTTTGAAGACGAATACCTTCGACTTGAGATCAACCATGATTATTCAAGGGTATCAAACTCTATTATCTGACGATAATTTGTTGCTCATTTTTTGTGTAGGTTCATTTCTTAGAACTGCAATGTACACATTATGCTAGAGGAAGAGAGTGGTTTGAGATTTTTTTTTTATTCATTCTTTTTAAGTATCAATATGATTTCACATGTTCGATTAAGCCCCATTTAAAGTTAAGCTGGTTTCAATCACCTAACCATTAAGGATTATATTATCTGGCCTTCTACAACCAGAAAAGACCTTTCTTTTACCATCTTACTGCTATTCTTCAGAACTATTATACTCCACATTCACCAGCACATTTAAATTTGTACAATATTCACTTGCAAAGAATACAAACAAAGTTAACAAACACATTCGACATGCAAAAAAATGCATTACCAAAAACACCAAGTTATGCATTCTGAAACACAGTTTTTTTTTGGTTCAACGGTCATGGACCAGCTTAAGCGTCAACTAATCCCCAGTCAAAGGGAGGCAATCCGCAATATTCACGAGGGAAAAATCCTCATGGCCTGAAATGCACTAACGCTAAATAAGTTTAGTTGGAATTGACTGGACGACAATTCTTCAAATTATCACTGTTTTTCTCCAGTTCCATCAGTGGCGGATTCAGTATACTGCCCCCACTAAAATTTTAAAAAATTTTGGAACTTAGGTGTAATTTTAAAATTTTCAAGAATTTCTTAAACTTGTCCCACTGAAATTTTCTTAAAGTATAAGGTATATTAATATAATTTTCAATCCTGAAATGCTAACTTTTGGCAGCTCCTCCTCATTTTTCACGCCTAACAGTTGCCCCCAGTGGAATTTTAAAAAATTTTGAGACCTAAGTGTAATTTTAAAAATTTCAAAAATTTCTTAAACTTACCCCGCTAAAATTTTCTTAAAAGTATAAGATATATTAATATAATTTTAAATCCTAAATGCTAACTTTTGGCAGGTCCTTTTCACACTTACTTTTTTTAAGAAACCCTAGAAGATTATGTCGAAACTAAAGAGAGGTAATCAATTAACTAAATTTTTTAATAGTAATATTAGTACTAATCTAAAATCAGATTTTTTATATTAAAAAATTAATTTAACTCTCGTAGAATTGGTTGTTTTGTATATTATTTATGAACTTATGTGCGATTTTTTTTTCGTCCGCTCAACTATTTTAAATTTTTGTTAAAACTCATATTTAGATCGACTATTTGAGAATCTTGATTAGTGCTATTTTTCTTCCGTACAATTAAATTGCTTTAATTGATTTCTTAAAATTATATAAATTATATTTTGATTATGTGTACTCGATTATCTCATTTGTTACAAACTTAATGACGAACTCTTAAACTCGAATCTAATTTGACAAATTTATTTTTTAATCAGCTATGAATTGGTTGCTCCCTAAGGCAAAATCCTGGCTCCGCCCCTGAGTTCCATGGTGCCAAACTCGACGAACAAAAAAAAAAAATCGATATAATTGAATATAGACTTGGAAAATTACCAGAATCACGTGCTTCCCTTGGACATCGAGTTTCAAATCGCACGAAATCCTCGGGGAGCAATTCGATTTGGTACCGGACCCGTAAGATTCAGCTCGAATGAAATCGATGGTGACTGGCAATTTGATTTTTCGAACGAGGTCAGCCAAGAATAGAAATGCACCAGTGGCAACGCCAACAATGACCGGAAACGAAGAAGAAGATGATGAAAGTGAACTGTTTTTGAAGTCTTGTGTAATCTGAGAGGCTAGCTCTGATATTCGTTCAGCGAGTTGTTCCTCGGTCCATAGAACCCTCTCTATATGGTCATTCAAGTCCATGGCTGCACAGAGAGAGAGAGAGAGTTGGACAGAGGGTTTACGATGGGCTCAAAACCCTAAGGAATATGTGCGATAAATGGTCTCCATTACCGATGTACGGCATATTTTAAACATATATTTCAACCTACGATAATTATTTTAGTTTTAAAAGTGAACTTAACAATTTTAATTTTATTTAAAAGTGAAATTGACAAATATAATATTTTATGATAAAGCGGAATCAAAAAATTTGAATTTATATTTGAATTTATTTACTGATTTACGGTATTTTTTAAAAATGAAATTAATAAATTCGTTTTTACCGATTAATACAGAATTAATAATTTAATTTTTAATAATAAAAAATGTATTCAAGAGTACGCTTTCTCACGACATGACAGTGCACATCTTCCCATGTTTTCCGAAGCCTCGAGCAATGCACTATAGCATCACACTGCACACATTCCTAACATCATTTCATTCCATAGTATCATTAAAACTATCACTTATAAAACAATTAGGATTCAATTATTCTATTAGTACATAAAAATTAAATTCATTAAATATTCATTAATTAAGAAACTCGATTCAATTATTTTATTAGGACATAATTTTGTGATCGTTAAATATTAATCAATTAACAAACTTGATTCAGTTATTTTATCAAGACATAATTTAGTAACATATTCAAAATAAATTTTGATTTATTGGATAATAGTTTTTATGAATTAAAATATTAATTAAGAAAATAAAAAATGTCAAATATTCAGGATCATATTTTTAAGTTTATTTTTTATGTTGATCTCTTTTTTTTACAAGTTCCACTGCCACTGGTATAAGCACTATTTTATTTGTGATTTTCGTGTCATTATTTTATTATATTTATTATTTATAAAATCTTTGTTTTTATTAGCTAATAATTTTACCAAAAAAATAATTGATGTAATGAAATGAAATGACAAAAGGATATCATTGACTCATTGCATGTATGATAAAAAAAGACCCATTGCTTACTGTGGAAGGTAGGAAATGAGGTGTGCTTTGTTGCTGCATGAAAGCGTATTCCTTGAGTACGCCTTTTAATTTTAATTTTTTTAAAAAATAAAATTGGGGTTGTTAATCCTGTTTTTATCATTAAAAGTGAATTTATTGATTCCACTTTTATTGCTAAAAACAGATTTGTTAATTTTGCTTTTAAAAAATGTCGCAAATTAGTAAATAAGTTCGAACATAAATGCGAATTTCTTGATTCCGCTTTACCATATAAAGTTGTATTTGTCAATTCTCTTTTTAAATGAAATCAGAATTGTTAAGTCCGCTTTTAAAACTACTGTAGAAAGACAATTAAGTTCAAAATAGTTGTATATTGGTATATATGTTTAAAATATGTCGTACATCAGTAATAGAGTTGATGATATTAAGACAATTATGATATTTAATAATTCTTTTTGTTTGGAGAATCTTTATTCATGAGACTGCTGTCCACAAAGAAAATAAGATTCGTAGAATAAAATAAGGGTTATTTGAAAGTCGGTACGCCTAATTAGATTTATTTAGCAAAAAGTATATAGAAAAAAATATTTTAAAAAAAATACACAGCTGAATTACAAATACATAAATGTCCATTTTATGGTCATTTAATTCAAAATCTTTTATCTTTAATGCACTTTGATTCATGCATGTTTGTTAATACATATAAATACATATTTAATGCACATTGAATTATCTTTAATGCACATTGAATTATCTTTAATGCATCTTGATTCATGCATATTTTTTTTAAAAAATAATTTTATTCTCAAATTATATTTAATGCACCTTAATTCAAGCGTTTTTTTTTTTAGAAAATGATTTTATTTTAAAATTAATTTAATATTCGTATAATGTAATAGTGTAACAATAACATTGTAACAAATACACTGCAACAAATACAGTGTAACAAATACACTGTAACAAAAAACAGTATTCAATAGTTTTGTGTATGTGGTAACAAATTCAAAACGGAGATGAACTATTTTGAATGAAATTATATGAAACTATATGTTTGACAAAATGTAATAGTATAATATTTTATGTAAATAATTTGTTACACTGTTATTGTTATACTATTACATTGTTATTGTTACATTTTTATTATTACATTGTTATTGTTACACTATTAAATTATTAGGATATTAAATTAATTTAAAAATAAAATCACTTTTAAAAAAAATGCATAAATCAATGTGCATTAAAAGATAATTCAAAATTTAGATAAGACATTTAACAACAAGTAAATACATATATGCATACCTAAGTAAGTGTATATATATATATAATGCATGAATCAATGTGCATTAAAATATAATTTATATGCATATACGTTTTTATATATATATGAATATAAATTTTGAAATTCAAACAAGTGTATATATATATATAAATATGTATTAAAATTCTCTCATAAAATTAGAATATATTTAGAATATATTTAATGCACCACTTTTCAAAGAAAAATGGTGCATTAAATATACATGGATTATTTAATAAATTAATAAAGGGCAAAAATTTCACAAAAAAAATCACTAAAATTCAAATAATGTATTTACATTCAAATAAGTATCAAAATTAAGAACGTAATTACCCAAAATTTTTCTCTATATATTTTTTTACAATTAAATCTAATTGAGTTTACTTCCTTTCAATTTTCCCATAAAATAAAGGGGTTTGCAGTGTCCGTTTAGGGTCTCTATCACGAGGTAAGCAAGTAGGCCTCACCAAAAAGCCTCAAGTTCAATGGGCTGCCCACGGCTCGGGAAGCCTAACGGGCTAACGAACAATTCGGCCTGCATATGTGATAGGGCTTTGGTAGACCACTAGCTCAACAGGTAGGCTAGTGGCCTGGTGGACCGGCCCGTTAAGAAGTTGTTAGCCCGCTCGTTAGCCAGTCCATTAGTCCAATAAAACAATTAGATTATATTTCATAATTATATTATTTATTTGATATTTGATTTGTAACTTTTATAGATTGAGACTTATGAATGATTGATAATTGTGTAGATCTAACCTAATTAGAATGTACTCTATTTGTAGTGATATAAAATAGTCTTGCCCACCAATTAATTTGTAATATAATATTGTAACTCTATATGAATATTTTTTAAATTCAATCAATATAAATAATTTTTTTGTTAATTTATTTTTTCATACCAACTTCATGTAATTGATGTATTTTTATATTTTTTATATAAAAAATAAATTTGTCAATGTCTTTTTTAATTTTTTTAAATAAAAAATAATTTTTTAATAAAAAAAATCCGTTTCAAATTCAATGGATTGGCCATAAGGCCCGGCCCATATTTAGCCCATTTTGGCCCAATAGGTCCGCTCAAGAGCGGGCCAAGAGCCTTAAAAATTCCTAATAAGGGCCTAGTCTGTTGACTAGTCAAAGTCCATAGTCCTGGGCCATAGGTGGGCTATGGGCTGAAAAATGTCGAGCCGCATCGGGCCAATAAGCAAGTAGACTTTAATTCACGAGCCAGGTCATGACTTGAGCCAGTTAGTGGTGACAATTTCTAATAAAATATTAAATTTTAATTCAAAAATAATATAAAATTAATGGGTTATAATTAATTTTTTTTAATACGAACTCATAAATGACACAACTTAGATGAAAATTGATACGATTATTATGTTTAACTAGTACACGTGAATAATTTTTTTTTGTTTAAATTAATAAATAAATATTTGGTATATGGGTACTTGAATTAAATATTATCTCAAATTTACCAAATTTATTTTTTCATCTCTCATGCTCCTCTATAAAAATTTTGAAAACTTTGTATATTTTCAAGAGTTATTGTTTTAACTTTAAAAAATATAATTAAAAAAAAAAGAAATAAATAGTTAAAGTTTTATTTTGTTTCTATAATTTTGTAATTGAAAGTGATTTTTCAGTGACGTTTGAAAATTAAAAATTTTAAAATTAATTTGATTATGATTTCACTTATAAATTATTGAATAAAATAAAAATAATTATCAATATATTAATTGTATTAGAACTTACTATATTTAGGATTAGTTATGTCAATTGAAATAAAATTTAATATACAACGCCATAATATATATTATTAAATTTTTAAAAAATCATGTTTTCACATAAAATGTTAACACAGTTTAAAAATTTTACTATGACTTCAAAATCATGTAAAACTATATATAAATTATTTTTTATTTTAAAAATAAAAATGATTAAACATTTTGATGAAAAATAAAATATACATATGTAGTCATAATATTATTTTTATAAATGAAATGAGTATTATTACACTGATAGAGTTTTTGAATTTTTTTTTGAAAAGTTTGTTAAAATGTAAAATAATGCATATATTTTTTAAGAATAATATAATCAATCAATTATTTTTATATAAAAATTTACATTTATAAATAGATAATTAGAAAATTAATTTGATTAAAATTCTACTTATAAATTATTGAATAAAATAAAAATAATTATCAATATACCAATTATATTAGAATCTTACTGTATATAGGATTATCTAGGTTAATTGGAATCAAATTTAATATACAATGTTATAATATATATTATAAAGCATATTATTTTTTGAAATTGAGTTTTCATGTAAAATCTTAACAAAGTCTGAAAGTTTACTGCGACTAAAAAATATGTAAAAGTATATCAACATTATTTTTTATCTTAAAAAAAAAGGTTAAACATTTTGATGAAAAATAAAATATAAATATGTAGTCACAATATTATCTTTATAAATAACGTGAGTAATATTATAAGATGGAATTTTTTAAGGTTTTTCTAAATATTTGTTAAAACTTATAATGACACATATATTTTTTAAGAGTAATAAAATAAGTCAAAAAATTTCATAAAAATTGATATTTATATATAGGGAATATATAAGTAAAAGTGAGCTTAAATGTAATTTAGATATTTAAATGCATAAGGAGATGATGATAATTTAGATATTAAGTTTGAAAGGATATAATGACCTTTTTAATTATTTATGAAGGTAAAATAATGAATTAAAAGTTTTTTATATTAAGGTACTTTTATTAGTAGTATAGATATAGATATAGATAGTTAGTAGAAATAAAATATCAATTATTTGTTATTGTTTATCAAGTATTAACATAATTATTGTATAAAAAAAATATTGTTAGTCATTTTTATTGTTATGTTTATTAAGTTGATTTGTAATTTATAAAAAATATAAGCATGAATTCAATTAAGTGGTAATAAAATTTTAGATTTAAATCTTATCGTTAGATTCTTTATTCATAGGTCAACATGAATACTACACAAAAATAAATAGATTAGATTAAATCAAATGACATGATTAGTCAAATAATTGAACAATATACACACTATACGATGTGAACATGGCATGATTGTTATCCCTAAAATTGATTTTTTGGAGCATCGGCGATTTCTCGTTGTTTAAGCCCCTACCGGTGGACTTTTCCCATGTGATTCGGGCTGCAAGATAAGAATTTTACCTCGTTGAACCCTTTTTATTTAGCGAAAAAAATGTATACAAAATTGAATTTTGTGTTGTTTTCTTTTAATGAGAGTCAGTGTGCATTTTTTAACTTGTGCATTTCTTTATGTTCAATAAGTGCTTTTTTTTTTTTTTTTAATTTCTGTCACAAAAATACTATGTATTAACTAAGCCACATTTAGATTTATGCTCGGTTTTTCTTTTGTAACAATGATGAATCTGACTTTTGAATTTGACTAACTGCTAATTTTAAATTAAAATCCAAATATTTTACTTTGTCAATTTTATTATATAAACGTCTAGTCTTATCTTTTATTCCAATTTTTAATCGCGGTAAGATTGTTATATATTTAATTGTTACATTGATAACAAAAATTAAGCAAAAAATAAAAATCAAATGACGTGTCAATTGATATATTAAATAAAACTTCAATTTTAAATAAATAAAATGGATAAAAAAATATCATTATGATCTCTAATTTTAATCTTATTTTTTTGACAATCTATAATCTATAGTTCTAAAAGAATCAATTTAGGGGAGAGAGAGTGTTTGAATTTTTTTTCTTCCAAATCCTATTTTCTCTTAATTTTGAATTATTTAATTGACCTCTCTCAATTAAATTTTAACATACTACTATGTAACTATTTTTAACTTTTTTATATTTAGATTTTTTTATATAATATAAATTTAATATATTAATAAATAATTTTTTAATAATATCAGGATACGATGGGGGTGAAAATAGGAGTGACATTGCATATTATAATCTACGTATATTGTACGAAATGAGTTAATTATTCGATAAAAATAAATAAAAACGTTTCGTGAATTGAAAACACATATCTACGAGTTAAAAAGAGCACGTGGGTTGAAAACAGTAACATTGTCGAAAGCCACGTCATTAAACAAACCCACACGTGCCTCTCAGAAACGTTGCCGTCGAATTAAGGAACCGATTCGCAGCGGACCCCACCCCACCCCACGCCACCCCCCTTGTGACTCACACCTATAAATACCCCCGGACCTTCCACTAACCTTTTCTGTCTCTTCATCGCCCTCACCCCTCCTCCCGCACTCTGATTCCCCAAAAAACCTAAAAACCAGAAAAAAAAAAATCGATTATACTCGCATCTACATTGTTTACACCTACTATCCCTAACCCTAGGTTGTGTTTATTAATTTATTTCTGTCTTTTTTTTCATCGCCTGAGAGAGTGATGGCTTCGACGGTGGTTCCGGCGGTGCAGACGCAGGGGGCTGTCACTGCGACGGAGACACCACCGGTGACGCCTCAGACAACTGCGGTTGCGGCTCCGGGAGGAGGTTTCGCCAATGCGTCGTTGTATGTTGGCGATCTCGAGTTGAATGTGAACGAAGAGCAACTGTGCGATCTATTCAACCAGGTGGCGCAAGTGGTGTCGGTTAGGGTTTGTAGGGATCAGACCAGGCACTCCTCGCTCGGTTACGCTTATGTGAATTTCAGTACTCCGCAGGATGGTATGGACATGCATTGATCGCCATTTATATAAACCCAATTGTTTGATTTCTATAATGTTTCCTTTTTTTGATTGTTTAACGTGACCTCATAGTTAGGTGTAAGCATACGATGTATATTTATGTCTGTAATTTGTGTTTTTATTTTTGTTTTTCATTTGTTCACAATGGGGTTTTTTTTGTGCGCGTGTGCATGTTCTTGAAAAATTGATCTTTAATTGCAATGGCTGTGTTTCGTTGCTTTTCTCAGTTATAAATTAGTGTTTGGTGTGTTTACTTGTGTGCAGTGATTTTTGTTGGAGTAGTGATACGGTTAAATTTTTTTAGATTGTTAAGAATGGAGTAAAATCTGACTTTTTTACCCCTTTGATTTCTTTTTTGTTTTTCCCTTTGTGGGGTTGTTTTTAATATATTTATATCAATTCAGTTGTGTTTTTTCTTCTTAATTTGGTCTATACCTAGGTTTTTTGGTGAATTATTAATATTGGACAAATGTTAAGGTGTCACATTTCACTTGAAGGTGCATTTGTGATTTACTTGAACAAATATAAGATGGATCGATATGTCTGATCTTTGTGAAATCATAGAGAGAAAATAATTTTGTGTGTCTGTGTGTGTGTGTATTGCAGCTTCTAATGCGAGGGAGATTTTGAACTTCACACCCATCAATGGGAAACCTATCAGGATTATGTTCTGTCATCGAGATCCTAGTATGAGAAAGAGTGGTTATGCTAATATATTCATCAAGAACTTGGATACATCAATCGATAACAAGGCATTATATGATACTTTTGCTGCCTTTGGGACTGTGCTTTCTTGCAAGGTGGCTGTTGACAACAAAGGTCTATCTAAAGGATATGGTTTTGTACAGTTTGAACATGACGAAGCTGCGCAAAATGCAATCAAACGATTAAATGGAATGTTGATAAACGATAAACAAGTTTATGTTGGTCTTTTTGTTCGTCAACAAGAAAGGAACCACACAAATGGATCACCAACATTTACTAATGTATATGTGAAAAATATTTGTGAGACTACAACTGGTGAGGACCTTGAGAAAATTTTTGGCAAGTATGGTCCCATCACTAGTGCAGTTGTTATGAAAGATGCAAATGGGATGTCCAGATGTTTTGGATTTGTGAACTTTAAGAGCCCAAACGATGCTGCCTCTGCTGTTGAGAACTTAAATGGGACCTCCTTCGGTGGTGAGAAGGTTTTGTATGTCGGAAAGGCTCAAAGGAAGTTTGAAAGGGAGGCAGAATTGAAAGCTATATTTGAACAAGAAAGACAAAGTAGATTCGAAAAGTTGCAAGGTGCTAATTTATACATGAAAAATCTTGATGACAGCATAAATGATGAAAAGTTGAAGGACTTGTTCTCAGAGTTTGGAAACATAACATCATGCAAGGTATGTATTAATGACCAGTACAGTAAATGTTGGTGTTATCTTCGTTTTCTTGTTATTTACTTAGCTTGGTTCCTTTTTGTTTTTAATCCTTAAAAACAAATTGCTCAGGTCATGGTTGGTCTGCATGGGGTGAGCAAGGGCGCAGGTTTTGTGGCCTTTTCTAGCCCAGAGGAAGCTACAAGAGCTGTAAGTTTCCCCTTTTTATTTCCTTTTTGACAGATCTCTTTCTATGTGCTTTCTCATGCTGGTTATGCCTCGTGTGTCTGAAATGTTTTACATTATTATAAAACCGTCTGAAATAGTTCACATTATAAAATGTTTATCAGATGAATGAAATGAATGGGAAGATGATTGGCCACAAACCTTTATATGTTGCTGTGGCCCAGCGCAAAGAAGAAAGAAGGGCTCGACTGCAGGTGATTTCTCTTCATTGCATCGTTCATTGGTTCCAGCTACTTGCTGTTGTCAGTTGACTCTATTTTGTTGCTGCTAACAGATGACAAACTGTTGTTGCAATGGGAAATAAAAACTTTTGTTATTGAATGTTATTCTCAGGAATCAGCTTGGTTCTGAGGTTACTAGATTATGTTTTTTGAACTTGTGGAGAAACATAAGTTGTCTATATTTTATATAATTTTATTAATCTATCTAATAAGATTGCCAGTATTTTGAATTTTATCTCCATATATTTTTTCTGCCCATTTCTGTCACAAGATAAATCATTTAATTTTTGATTTATTGTGGCTCAGTACAATTTTTATTTCAGGCATTGTTCATATACGGTAACATATTGATATTTTTTAAAGGTTATGTATTTTGAGAAAATTTTATGGATTTTTATTAAAATAATGGGTAGAAATTAATTGCAAATCATGTAATTAAAGAATGGGAAGGAAAACAATTACTATTTGATATAGTGGGATAGATTGTTTAGGCGTTCGAATTTTATATTGTATCGTGTCTTCAAGTACGAGAGAGAAATAGTAGTAAATATGAGAACACTGATCAACAACAAATATCAATGAGTTGAGTAAATACTTGCAATAACGAAAAAGAACTAGGGTGCTTGTTACTTGTAGGCTTCATGGTATTTAGGTTTTTCCATGCATATGTTCTAGGAATGATGCCTGTGAAGGACGTAGTGGACAATATTGATAGTAAATTATAACTAAAAAAGGGACTTACTTTGTGGGATGGATTGTGTAAGTGGTATCTCTCTGGAAAACTAACAACAATAGTTGCTTGTAAATGATGATTTTGAGTAATCTTTTTTTATTCCTTCACAATAGTAATTAATTGTTGCATCTTCTTGTATGCTTGTTTGAAAGTGGAATTGTCTTCAGTTTCCTGTAATGGTTACAGTAATTGAATTTTTGGGCCTTTTTTTTCCGTTCTTATTTCATATTCTGCATGGGGACTGGAATTCTCGTCTCTAGATGTACTTTTTATTTGTCTTTTAGAACTTAAACTATGCCATGGTCCTAGAAATTTATGTAGCTATTTGTTGGTTAATTATGTGCTTACTTTTTTTTTTAAGAATTCATGATAGATTGAATGTTTTTGTGTAGCAATTATAACCCTGCTAGATTGTATCCATTCTCCTTAATTTTGTCTATGTGTGCTTTTCAGGCACGCTTTTCTCAACTACGAGCGCCAGGTGGAATGTCACCTTTGCCTGCAGGAATGCCTGGATTTCATCCTGGGGCACCCAGGCTTGCCCCTCAGCAGCTGTATCTTGGTCAAGGTCCTCCTGGGTTGATACCCCCTCAGCCTGCTGGGTATGGCTTCCAGCAGCAACTCTTGCCTGGAATGCACCCAGGTGTTGCCCCAAGCTTCATCATGCAATATCAACTTCAAAGACAAGGACAACCTGGACAGCGATTGGGTTTGAGGAGGGGTGGAAACCACCCTCAACAGATGCAGCAGCATCAGGTGCAGTAATTTTCTGAGCGTTACGAATCATTTTTTTTCATGCTTCTTGCTTCACCTGGTGTTGGCATGGTGTAATACTTGCATTGTCGGTGTTTACATTTTTTAAGCACGATATTAAATAGAAATTGATGAGCACTGTTTTCAATAATAATAAGCAAGTTATTTTTATTACGATTAAGATTCGTTTGATGATTGCTCGATGCTTGAAATAAAATAATCATTGTAAATAACTCAACTGTTAGGCAATATTTGTTTGTTACTTGTTGCCAACTATTTTTCCCAATTATATGTAAAATGCATAGTTGTCAAATTGCGTATCGGAAGGTGTATCGTTTTTTAAAAATAGTGTATCGTATCGTGTATCGTAAGATACGGTGTAATTTTAAATAATTAATAATAAAATATAAATTAACAAACTTTAGGGTGTCTAGATGTAATTTATTAACGGATATATTTACAACAGGGGTCTAAGTGTTACGTGTATATAAATTTTAGAGGGTCTGTATATAATATTTCAAATGTTAGTGGTCTAAGTGATTAAGTAATAAACCTCAAGGGGTGTAAGTATAATTTTTCCTATTTTAAAGTATAGCAAAGACTACTTGATCAAAAAAAAAAAAAAAGACGAGAGAGAGCGATCGAGAGGCAGAGAGAGAAAAATAGTGATCGAGGTAGCGATCGATTCATAAATTCTAACAAATATGCAACATATACACGCAAAAACACAAGAACAAATTGATCGAACTTGGGCGACAACAGCGGCGATTGACATTCTAGGAGTAAGCATGAGAGCCTCGACATCGTTCTCCAATTAGGACTCAGGGTTTCGGCGACTATTCGAAACAAGACGAAATTGATGATGGATATACTTGTGCTGGGTTAGAGATGTCTGTAACATGTTTCTTCTTCTTTTTCGTCTTTTTATCGATGAGGGTAATGGTGGGCTTTGATTTTGGAGGAATTTCGGCCATTCTATTGGAATTGTCGGTGGTTGCGACTGATTTACCCTAAAAAATAGAGACTTCGTATCGTAAAAACGTATTGTGTATCGGACGATATTATGCAAAAACGATACAAAACTCTGTTTCGTATCGTTTTATCTCTATATCGTGACGTATCGTACGATACGTATCGCGTATCTCATACAATACTAACAACCATGGTAAGATGTACTTCACGGTAGCTTGGTATTGTTTTCCTTATTACATGTAGTTTCAATAGAGACCTCTTATCCTACTTTCTACTCTCTACTGAACCATTCTCACTTGGCTTGATGATGTACAGGTGAGAGACTCATTTAGAGCCTTATATGTGTTGTAGATTGTAATTAGGTGCTGCATCTATGAGCCAATGTTTGAAAGCTCTTACGATGGTGGGGGATAAATTAGATGGATTGTTCAGCATAAAGAACAAGTTTGATTATTTTGACTTCATTATTTTCACTCTTGACCTCTGACTTTGATAATTCTGTTTGTTACTTTAAATTTTAGTTGATGCGCAACTCCAATCAAAGGTTCAGCCGATTCATGGCCAGTGGAAGAAATGGCATGGATGCATCTATGCCTCAAGTTCCAATGGGTCCAATGATGCCATTGCCTTTTGATGTTTCTTCAATGCCAGCAACTCCATCTGATATCCATCGTTCTGGACCATTGCCCATGTCAACACTTGCTTCTGCTTTGGCTTCTGCAACTCCAGAAAATCAGCGCATGGTTAGTCGTTTTCCTTTCTTCTCTCCATTTTGATGTTGTTAAAAAAATTTTACTTGGTCAAATTACCCTTAGTGCAAATAAGACATATGTTACTCCATTGATTTGTGGATTCATTTTGTTTCATTGGAGGAAAAATTTAACTAACTGTATAAAGACTCCTTGATAATATGAATTTTAGTTCAAGAATAAATATGTGTGGTGTGTAGATATATCTAACCATTTTTCAAGGGAAAACAAAATTTCCCCGTACATTTTGAGGGGAATTGAAAGTGAAGGTTGCAAGTTAATAAGGTTGTATGGGGAACAATTATTTCCTGCACCTTCTACCACAATCCTGCTAAATAAGCACAGAAGGTTTATATTTTATCTCTTTCCTTTCTTTTCTTACTTTCTCCTGCCAAACAAATGGACTGTTAGCAAAAAAAGAAATTGATTGCATCAGAAACAATTTTCTAATCAAGATACACTATGCATTGTTGGAATTTAATTCTACTAAAATTTCTGAATTGATTACTGTCACGAATTATTGGCTCCTGTTTCTGAGTTGTTGTTTTTGACGTTTTGTGTACAGATGTTGGGGGAACAGCTATATCCGCTCGTGGAACGGTTAGAGCATGATCATGCAAGGAAAGTGACCGGTATGTTGCTGGAGATGGACCAAACGGAGGTGCTTCATCTCATTGAATCTCCGGATGCTTTGAAGAAGAAAGTTTCTGAGGCTATGGATGTACTTCAGTTAGCATCATCAGGTTCTGATGTTGGCGATCACCTTGCCCCTTTTGTGTCTTAATGAATGCGGCAATTGGTAGATCCTTATGTGTCTCTGTGGGCCCATTTTTTGCTGGCCTTGATGACCTTTGAATGTGTTTGGGGTATTCTTCTGTCCTAGTTTTTTTGTGGGGTTATATTTGGCAAGTCGATAATTAAAATTTTTGTAGGCAGGGATTTCAAAGACAAGGGGTTTACTAGGATTATTTTCTTATTTTCCTTTTCTAACATAGAATGGAGGGTTTTCTGAGACATCGATTGCTGAGACTGTCTTCTTTTCCTTGATTTTGATGTTTCTCTTCATTTTCAGGTACTTCTTGCATGGATTTTTTTGACACACAAAAATATTATATTGCTTTCTTTCTCCTTTTCACTACAGCTGCGTATGTTGTCTAGTCACCATTCGAGTTGGTGTGTCAAGTGGTTCCCAGAAAATACTGGCTATTAGATTGAATACGAAAACCAGTTCATGTCAACAATTTGATCTAAAGTGGTATTACAGCTGGAGTAGATATATAATACAATCTGATAGCACCTCATCGAATCGAATGTGGTAGTTATTGCATGTGGTGGTTATGTAGTTATTGTGTTAAACAGGATCCATTAGGCTTATGTGATAGTTTATAATTGGTTGTCACTGTAATTTGGTATCACCGTTGCCTTGAAATCTCCTCATAGATATGAGTGGCAAAGAGGAAGAGAAGGAGCTAACATATCCGCGGGACAACTGATTGTTCGGTGATCAGAGTTTACATTAGAGGGAGCTTCTGAGAACCAAAGAAAGTGGAACAAATCAGGGTGGGTATCTTTCTACCCTTTGATTGTTATCCATGGTTTTCACTTGAGCATTGCTTGATTGGCCCATATAAGAATGTGCAAAGGCTCTCCCACTTCTTAGCTGCAAGTTATTACCATCTTCTTATGTTATGTGCTCATTTGATTTTGAACTTCACTTCATTCTTTGCTGCAAAACTGTGACCATCTCTATGTGCAAATTAACTACCATCTTATGTGCAAATGAACTACCTTCTCTATGTGAGAATCTCTGAAGAGATTAGGGCCCTGTTTGGTTTGTATCTCAAAAACTATTCTGTTTTCAAAAACAATTTCTAGGATGGAAATTGTTTGGCCAATAATTTTTTGTTTTTGTTTTTTAAAAACTAAGAACAAAAACTAGGTAGATTTGTTGCAATATTTGTTTAGTACTAAGATTGCATTGCAATGAGGTTTGCATTTCAATCCTTCCTTCCTACCATTGAAAGTAGGCATAAAGAGAATCCAAATCTTGAAGCAATGAAGAACTCAAAATTTTGTAGCTATTGGGAAATTTGTTGAAGCTCTTTCTGAAGGCAAAAATAAAGACGAAAAAACTCTCAATCCTCCCACTACAGATCATGTCTGTTTTCCCAAACCCAGTCTCAGGTTTGGTTCCAGGTAAATTCAGATGAAAAGCTTTAAAATTCTGTCACCCTTTGCTGTAGCATGTGTAGTTAGAGGATCAAGTGTTCCTGATGAGTGGGTATCCCTATTGAATTATATAGTGTCAGCTTGGTTATGGAGTTATTTTCTTTTTCTTGATGTCTATGTGACTAAGCATGCATTGCAACTGAAATATATGCAAAACCATTGAACAAAACATAGGAGGGTTGCAGCCAAAGTTTGATTCACCATCTACAGGACACTATAATGCAAAGCCACCGGACTGTTCAGAGAAAATCAGGGTGGATGTCTTCTTCTACCTTCTGATCTTTCTCTATGGTATCGAATGCATTGTGGTTCCATTGACCCATATAATCGGCCTTGTCTCTTCCACTTTTTGCCTGCAAATCATCATCACCATCTTCTTCCACATAACCTGTCCATTTAGAAGCCCTTTCGACTGTTATTGGCTGACATTTGCATGGTACCTTATCTGCAAAATTGTCATCGTCGTCTTTGGTTATGTAGGTTTTCCATTTGGAAGACCCCATGCATGTTGTAGGTTGACCTATTCTCTGATTCTTATTTGGAAAATTTTCTTCAGCCTGTGTAGCATTATAACCCCATTTGGAATTCCCCTGTGCCTTCATTGGCCGGCTTTTGCTTGGCTCCTCCTCTGTATAGCACCAACTATGAGCATAAATGCACGTATTCAAATGCACAGGATCAAGAACTAACCACCCAAACCAAGTACAATTCGTGTGGGTCGTTGGGTGAGATGGGTGGGGTGGATATTTATGAATTTTATGGTGACTAAGTAAGAATAGAAAAATCACATCACCCACTGACAAATCAATCATTATATAGTATATTCTATTCCTGTTATGATAGAAAAATCCCAGAAATATTTGACCTCTTTCACAGAAGCAATATAATCATGAAGTGGGAAGAGGTGAATTACCTCGAGAGTTGATTTGCTTATTGATGTTCCTCTTTGCAAAAACTGGTCTGTAAGTTTTTTCACCATCCCCAGTTGTAGTTTGAGTGCAGGAGTAGAATAATTCTGCATTATGGATTTTTACATACTACATCAGTTGATTCTCCCTCTTAAATACCAAATCACTTAAGCTCACAATTTCTTATTTTCGAATACAAGGATAATCACTCTGTCCTACGTCAAATTTTATCTCTGTATTGGTTCAATTTTCACAAATATAAGAACGGATAAACATTATAATTGGTCCTAAACTTTATCTTTAATTTTAATTTAGTCCTTGAGCTTTCAGTTTGTCCCAATTTAGTCATTCAAGTATCAATTTTGTCTCAATTAAATCCTTCCGTCCATTTCTACCGTTAAATCAAAGCTAAAATGGATCAGATTGGACTAATCTCCAGTTGATCTATGGAAGAACTTAATTAAGACAAAATTGATAATTGAGAAACTAATTTGAAATATTTGAAAGTCTAAACACCAAATTAAAACCGAAAGTAAAACTTAAAGACCAACAATATTTCTTACAATTATTCAATAGAATAATGCTATTTGAACTTATTCTAATTTACTGACTTAATGTTAAAATCTACAGTTAAATTCAAAGATTTATTTTATTTTGTATCATACCGAATTAGGTCATTAAATCTGTCACTTATTTCTTCTGGACCACGGTGTACACTGGTCAGCCATTTTTTGCCCAGTTTATCTTCTACAGCACATTCAATTATTGAGAGCATCTATTAAATGAAGTTGGACTCTAATTCAGACACTTGCATATAAAATTCAGATTAATAATTAGCAACGGAATTTTACGACCTGATTGCTCTTCTTCTTCTTCTCTGATTTCTGCGAGATCGGCTTCGTCCTGAGGATCAATGTACTCGGTCCAGTCAATTCTCTTCACCTTCTTATTCTTCCAATGGTCATGATTGTCGATCTTTTCTGTTGACGGAGCTAGGGTTTCTTCCTCTTCGTCTACGAGCTGTTCTTGCTGCTGATGGGCGAATTGGCGGGACATGTTGAAGCTCTGAACGAATTTGCGGACGTCCTTGGCCATCAAACCCTGGGCAAACACTTTCCGTACCGACTGCTTCTGGTTGCACACTACACAGATCCATTTGTTACTACTCTTCTTCTGTTGCTTCACCTGTTCATATTCAAAACGCATTTCAATCTGCACCAAAAATTACACACGCACACGCGCACACACACACACACACACCCCCCCCCCCCCCCACACACACACACAGAAGGAATTGCCTGCATAGTGGAACATTGGCAACATTGAAGGGCGATGAAGATTGTCGGCATTGTCGGTTTCTCTCTCTGTCTCTCTCTCTCTCTGAGTATGAGAATGGTAAGTGCGTGTGTTTGAATTTTTTGGCGCCGACGTCTTTAAATTTGGACACTTGAGGAGGTGGTATTGTTGTCGTGTTTGGTAACAGAGGCAGAGTGACTGGAAAGATATGTTCGGCCACGAGTTTCAAGTTGGCCGAGCTTATTTAGAACCGATTCTTACATAGACATTGTGGTGCACCTGTGAATTAGTTTCGTTCAAAACCGTCAAGCTTTCTTTCATCACAATCTTACGCCTGTTTTTGAAAGTTGTAATTCTAAACTCATACCCCGACTTGAATACTTACCATCTCTCCAAATCCGACATCTATTCAATACTACTTCACAGCTCATACAAAAACTAGATGCATGGCCAAGAAACCACACCAACAAACACACAGAATTGTTGCACAACAAACAGAATCAAGATAGATTTTTTTAAGAGAATTTTGTGGTTTTGGTTTTTTTTTTTTTTTTGTGGGGGGGGGGGGGGGGGGGACAAGCACAAACCATTGTAAGTTCAATCATATATTCATGAAAAATATACAAAAAAAAGTGTAAAAATACTGGTTTTAAACGTATATAATCACCTGTGATAAAAAAAACTGAGGTCTGTAAACAGTTTATAGAATGATACAATGGTGAGATATGCCGGAGACAATTCTTATTTTACATGCCAAGACAATGTGTATCAACATCCACCAATCAATTGGATGAGTAAAGAAAATTAGCCTGTGTACTTATTTCAGCCAAAATGGATAGGCCAAAAGCTTTCTTGCGCAGCTAACCCACTATCATGTCGGCTCGCTGAAATGTTTTCTGCCCTACCAAAATCAACAATGACAAAATTCTTAAATCCTCATGGTAAAAGAAAAAACAATCAAATGCATGATAATGAGAATTGGGAAAACATATTTTATCCAAATTGTTGAAATCCTCCAGAATCTAATTGCTCAACTAGACATAGGTTGCAATAATCCCCAAATGCCAATTCAGTATACAATTAAAAGAATCTTTTAACATTCAACTAAAAATTCTGTGTTCAGAAATAGTATGGAATGATTACATCTCCTTTCACACCTCATAACGGTACCTAATCAAGGTCACTGCCACAGAATAAGATTTACTGCATTGCCAGTTACTTGTGATTATGTTCTCCATTATGCCCTTTGAGTTAGTAGGTAATCATGATAGGAAAACTGAGACACGGGGATGGTTCAGTAGCACTGGGAGCATCCCTCACACACATAGGAGTTCAAACTATAGATTGATGTTCTTGCCCTAGAAACTCATAAGGGAAATGAATATCAGCATTGAGAGCTCAAAAGATGATGGTATATTGTTCACAAGAGTTCCTTTCGTTGGAGTTAAGGTGATGAACATATACTACATCCAATAGTAGCTGAACATAAATCCTTCATTCTACTGCAAGAGCAAGTCTGTTACATTCACTAGCATTTATCAAAAATATCATAAATTCAGCGGACTTCCCATCCCCTATCACACCTTGAACTAACATAAGGAATCGTTGCAAAGACATTCTTACTATAACTCAAAGTGAAGCACACACAACAACAAAAAGTTTCCCAGAGAAGGCAAAGATTTCAGGCTTAAAATTTTTGAGGTAAATGCAGTTTTTAGGCACACCCCATTCAACAAGGTGGGATGGGCTGCATGAATCTTATTTGTCATTCAACTCTCTGCAGAGTCTTACTTGTTCACAGCACAAAAGGGATATTTTGCTCTTGTTACTCTTTCGGTTAGCAAAAGCATATTTGATGCATTGCTGAGTGAGTAACACCCAATTTCCAAATATTTAGGATGATGAAATATATTATGAAGCCTTGACATCCAAGCACAATTTATGTGGGTTGATGTTTCAAACAAGCACAAGTTGGGACCATTCCAAGGATTTCGGCACAGCCTCTTAAATCCCCAACTGTATTATCCTAACATTGGTTACTTCGGCAATTGATTAAAAAAGTAAAACCATTTTGAACTATTTCAGTAAGTGGATTATTGTCAGTTGTCATCCATACAATATGGATTAATTAAATCGTTAGATTTCTTAGAGTTCATGTTCCCCTGAGATTCTCTTGGAGATCGTTACTTGCCACCCATCCAGTTAGTTATCCTTGCAAAGCAATCTCACATTACTGAATGGCAATAGTTTAGTTTTGTACTCCCTGCTCACCTTTTTAAAACAATGGTCTGTAAGTGTGCATTTGAGGTGTACTTCCCCCGCATGAGAGATTAAATCAGAATAGAAGCTCCATCTTCCCATGAAGTAAATACTAGGTTCTTTCAGTCATCCACAATAATCAGCAAAAATAAAAATTTCAAGCTCAAAATTTGCAATGGGATTACTTACAGATAGAGCAAAAACATTAAATTCCAAATAAGTGCTCTGGACTTACCTGTTGTTGCAATTGAAAAGAACTAGGTAAACAGGATCTTGAGATGGCAGATGGAAAAGCTGTCGGACTATGTACACGCATGTAGTGATGCTGAAAAGGTGGAAAATTTGATGGAAAGGTAAGTTACTTCTCATTTTTGACATACATTTTCCAAACAATATGCATTGTCTTTTACATGCACAGTAAAGATCACTGATGTAGCAACTTTTTGACCAATTATTCTTACACTACGGCGACGTGAGTTTAATCTTAAGAAAAGGGAGATACGATCATAGAAGTGAAATGAAGCATAAGATATTGACAAGTGGTATGAAACAATCACCTTGAAGTACTAACTTGAGGCTGTGCAAACAACTGATAATTTAGAAAGCATACAACATATGTTAACTGATTTAAAAGTCATGGGCACTACCCAGAAAAGTATGCTACGCTCACTTAATTTGAAGCCATGTATCAAATTTTTGATCATACAACTGCTGTATGTCTTATAACAAGAGTAAAAGGACAGGCAGCAACGTAAAACAGTAAGATGTATGGTAGTAACACTTGATCCTGAGAAAATGCACACAACACGTTGATTTTAAAAGAAAGCATACAATCATTAACGTTGTGAGTCAGGGGTGGAACCACATTAGGACTAGGGGAGAAAACCTCTCAATTTTGGATCTGCTTCATTTATACCATAATTTTGTCCAATTTATTACCTTTGCCCTCTCTAATTTTTTTAAAAATTTGTATATTTATTCCTATTTTTTATTCCAATTTTGTTTAGGCTAAATGAAAACTAGTTTGGTTGTTTCGTATATTAATTTAGTCTTGAATTTTAATATATTTTTCATGTTTGAACTTAATTTTTTTTTGTATTAGCTGGCAAATTTTTTCTAGTTACATTTTGCGCCCTCCCCCTTCTTAAACAAATTCCTGGCTCCTGTTGTGAGTGGCCAAAACCGATTTCAAAAGCTTATGAGACCGCATATCATAAGTAATCACCACTTGGCAATGCATACTTGCTTATATTTCCATGATAAAAAATTGTGAAAGAAAATGAATTTGAGTCAGAATAGGTGGTTGGAAGTTGGAACCCAGCATTCTCTTCTGATGTCGAAGACTTATAATGCCATGTACAAGATACATCAATCAATACTAATCCTCCCTCGGCATGCACACTAATATCTGCATGTGTGAATATATATGATTCTGTATATATCACAAAATAAAATATAAAAACAACCATGGTTTTCCAAATTCCACATATTAAAAACTGGATGCTGGCATCATGGAAATAGCAAAAATAAAAAGAAAGAGAGAAATTAAATAATGCTTGCATTACTAAATCACGAGGGGAAGATTACCTGCCGAAACATATCAACAAAACTATCCAAAAGACTGCACTAATCCAACTTGATTCTTTGTATGCCACCCAAACCTGATAACCGCATGCAAAAAGCAACAAAAATCATAACAGAATTATCCCAAAGAAGGCATTTAACCAATTTGATTCTTGAATGCGATTGACAAGACAACCACTATAAAAGATGTTTACAAAATTATAATTTTAATTCTATACCTATATTTGCTAAGTTTGAGGCATCATGTTCATCAAACCTTCATACTTTTGGGGAAACTGACTCATCTGCACTCCTGAAGTGTCCAAGTTACTCCTTTAACACTGTAATCTAAAATGATTCTTTACACAACGTGCTGAATCACATATGCATGTACTTCATTCCTTTTAGTGAGCCATGTGCTAGAGAACAACAAACAAATCTAATTACCACTAGTGAATTTGGAGGCTTATTACTTATTCCTTTCCTGGACACTGAGTACATGTCTGAACATGTAAAGTGTTGACTATATGTCCTATACTCATACCCATTATCAATTTAAGTCCAATAGGAGAATTTCAAACATATTTTTTTTTTTTGACTTTGCAGAGGCTGACATAGCCTCTTTGGGAACACCATTCTTTTCATCACCAACTTACCAAAACACCTGGTCTGCTGTGGATACAGATTTCTTTTGCATAGCAATCTACCATGAATGGTATCCTTTGCAAAGAACAGCTATGCTTAAATGACATATTGTTATTTGTTGAAGTATAGATACATAAGTTACGCCCTCTCCAACAGCTTAAGCTGTTGGAGCAGATGGTTATTCAACATGGTATCAGAGGTCCAATATTCGAATCTCACTGCCACTCTAATTATTAAAAATATTTCCACATGTTAGGTCCAAAATCTAGCCCACCCGTTAGGAGGCGTGTTGAAATATAAATATTTAAGTTACACACTCTCCAATAATTTAAACTTTTGAAGTAGATGGTTGTTCAACTGCTGTTTCTTTTCAGTATTTCCAAATGGGTAGGCCAAAAGGTCTTAAAATTCACTAAGTATTTGGACAACATAAACCTATTCTTAGCTAATCAAGGTAACTTACACAAATGATTATATTTATCGGTGATGCCATCGAACTTGATGCACTAATAACCACTATTTCTTTGAGGGGTGTAGACGCTACGGTTAAATTTTGTTGGTCCCTTTCAGATTATGAAAGGTAACACAAGGTGAGTTCAAGTAGAAAATAACTAAATATTTGAGAGTTGAACTTTGTTGGTCCCCTTTCAGTTTATAAGAGGTAATACAGGTTGATATTCAGGTAGAAATGAAACAGAAACAGCTTAGTATTGAGAATAGAGACATACCGATAGAGCCACAACATTTATGTAGAAATCAACTAGGGTTGCTTCCATCCACCTGCAAACATCACAGCTACTTAGTACATATTGTGCATAAGTTGCACCTGCACAAACAGAATTTGACTGGAGAAAGCAATAGGACACAATGAGTGCATGCTCTTCCACAAGGATTAAAATTTTGTTTCTTTTCCACCAAGACGACCAAAACATTCATGTTTCCACGGAAACTAAAACGAATCAGTGACTAAATATTGAAATTTCTATGTTTCGTGGTGTTTCGGGATTTGTCGAGGTGTTTCAGCCAATGGTTTGGGATGTTTCGAAAATACATTTCCTTTTTTTTTTTTCCCTGTCTCCATACTTATGCCCACCAAAACTGTGCACCAAATATCTTGCTAGGCTCGTTTCTTATCTCTTAAAAATGCAATAGAATCCAGGGAAACTCGTAAATGCTAATGGGTCTTCGGGAACACAAATGAAGAAAGATAACGACAAGGATGCTTCCCAGTTGGAGCTTGGAGAGGGATGATGGGTCACCAGTGGCCAAGGCAAAATCCGACGAGAATGGAATCCTAGCATGGACAGGTGGTGCATTTGTGCAAAGAGAGAAAGACAGGGATAGATGGTTGAAAAATAAATTGTTTACAATTGCTCCAATGAATACAATTCATATTGTTGAAGAACAAGAACAGAAGCATATGTTTTAATCATCAAAGAGCTACACAGCATCAGTGTAATACTTCTAGAGAGCAACATTTGTTATGGTGTAAGTTATCAATGAGCATCAGCAAATGATGCCTCATAATTATAGTGAACAACGAGATCAGATATCACCAAGGTTTTGAGTTTTAAGGTTGTTGGTTGTACATATACTTGTTTCCTGACAGTGAAAATTCAGGTAAGTTATCTAAATTATAAAAATCCAAGTGTAATATATGATCTTTTTGTTTTCATACTCAGGCCTCTCAATGTTTGCAAAGAAGTATTGTGGTAGTGTTAGCACCTGCATTCTGAAAAGATCAAAAAACCTTTTGCCCCTTCATCCTCCTTGAAACTACCCTCACTCCTGCCTCAAACTAGCCCTCAGCTACCGTTATTGCATGCATAGCTCATACACTGCCACCCACAGCAATGTCATTGCCATAATATACCATCTTCACCACCCCATAAATACTACCACCACCAACTACCTTGAATTATTCAGAAAAATGGACAAGGGGAAAACGATAATGCTTAACTACATCCACATACTTTTAAGAAGAATCTGATTTATTAGACATAAATTCAGAAGTAAAGAACTTACGGGGTCAAGACCTCTCTGCGAAATGGAGAACCATCTGTTATGAGAGTGTAACTCAATGTTCCCAACATCAAACAACCCAAAGCACTGAAGAGGACTCTTGCAGCTAGGAAAGAAAACTTCTTCTTTTGTTCCACTCCATCCCTAAATGGTAAAACAGAAACAGTTTCTCAATGCAACACAACAGGAAGAATGAAGAACCAATAAACACTAGAACTGCATTCAATCCCACAGCTGATCCAGATATACAATCACTGTATCCTCGTATGAAAAATTATTGGCCATTTCTTCTCATGGATCATAACCAATAACGGGGGCCATGTAAATCCTGATGAACCTTTTTTATGAAAGGAAAATCATCAAATGTAGCAGCAAAACTTGCATTCACTAGGGAAGTGGGACAAAAAGGTGCAGTTTCAACTTGCATCAGAAACATAAGCTTGCATAATACTGCTAAAATGATGCAAGCACATAATTAGAGGAAAAGATCAGTCTCGCATAACTTTTGTATTCTGGCTGACGTGGATGCAATAGTTGTCTCATTAAGAAGACAGGTGTATGTACCACATACATAAATCACAGTCATCAAAAGAGAGACATAAATGGCAGTTTTAACATGTTCTTGAAGAATTGATATACATAATAGAAGCATCAAACAGACAGAAATGTGATCTAGTTATAAAACTACAGAAATACAGTCTTCTTTGCTCCTTATCTCTTAGAACAGATTATTCCCCTTTCCCACTATATCAGCCATTCAGACCTCACCAAGCAGGTCAACACACTTACTAAGGATAAACCATCAAACAGGAAAGTCAGCACAGTTCACACTGGTAATTAAATTTATAAGAATCTATGGCTCAAAAATGAATCAACCATTTTCATGACTACCCTCTGTTCCATGAACTTACTTATTTTGATGTCGCAACAAAACAAAGTAAATTGGATCTTGTAACGATTCTGGTGGTGATAGCTTGAGGAATTGCAAAACGATGTAGCCACATGTAGTAATGCTGTACAGAAAAACAACATAGTTACCACCATCCGTGCAACACATAAGATACATGCACAAATTTCAGTATGAAATAAATTTGGAAGGTATATAACAAAATTTTCTTGTTATATTGTGATAAAAAAAAATCTGAAACCAAAATACAGTGGCAAACAGTATCGCAGGAAGACTCGGACAATGTAAGCTGTGCAAAAGCTCAATAATGGAAAAGTCGTCAACCCACCTAAGAATTGTTAGAACGATAAAGGCTACATGTCAGTAATATTCATATTCATATACATGATAACCACAACTAGGATAAGTGTTCAGATTGTACTTCATAATATTGCAACTAAAGCTTGAATTGAACAGAATGCTGGCAGGTACAAAATTATTAGTACAAAAGATCCAGTTATTTGTCAATTGAAATCCCAATCAGGATAAATCTGATACTCCTATGAGGCTGCTGCATTGTTGGAAGAAAGCTATGGCGAGAGAAAAGGAAAGAAAGATATACGATGATGGCTATGAAAATGTCATGATTCAAGCCTTCCAGCAAGAAAGGATAGGAGAAAGGTTAATTCACCATAGCATTCTCAGACTAATTAGAAAATGAAAAATCATTACTTATATATGAGAATTTCCGCAAGTTGAAAGGAATATCTGGAAGAAACACTCTAAAAGTTCCCGTACAAAACGTTAACTTTCAAAACCTTTGGCTCACTATACACAACAATGGGCTTGACAAGTCAAATTTATTTGTACCGCAAGTAGACATTGTAAGAAATATCACCTTACATCATTTCTCGTCAGACATTACAAATATGATTAAGGGAATTTACGAAAATAAAAGTAAAGACAAGTTTACCTTCCCAAACAAACTAACAAAACTAGCCAAAGTGTTGCACTGATCCAGTTTGATTCCTTGTAGACAATCCAAGCCTAATATTTTCAAGAGAAGAGAAAATGGTCACTAATTACTACAAGTTCCTTGAATATAAGCACTTGATTGGCAGATTTGAGGAAGAAACTGGGATTTTTTATAGCATATAGGAAATATCTTCCGAAGAATTAAAATAACGATTATCATAACTCTAATCACACATAAAGCAATAAATGGTTGACACATCATTTTATCACCAGTAGGACTACTCTCATTTATGCGCAAAAAATTGGACACCCAAGTACACTATCTGCAAGAATCAGCATACTCAGACATTGAGAGCCAAATATTTCACCTCTGTTCCAACTCTTGACAATATATTAAATGTCAGAGAAGTAATAGAAACGTCAAGTTTTGTCATGTGAGTTTTGAACAATTCACTCAAGATATCCTGTATGCCCAGAGATAACGTACAAAACTACACAAAAAATTTATTACTTAATTCTTCCAACAAGGAAAAATTGCCATTTTCAATTTAGTTTTACATATCTTCGAGTGAAGTATAGAAATCACATAAAAAAATAAGTTGTCAATTTAATGATAATATGAATATGAAGTATGTTTGTCATACCCCAATAGCTAGAACATTGATATAGAAATCAACCAAGGTTGCTGCCATCCACCTGAAACATATACCAAAAACTAAAATTCACCACATCCAAATAAACAACAGTTGACTGACAGAATCAGCTAATATATGGTTTCAAACCTGAAGCATTTCAACAACTCAAAGTGAAGTGCAGTGCATTATAATAGACACATGATTGGTTTATGCCATCAAATTTCCATTGAGCATGTGTGGCTAGGAAAGATAACCCAACCATATTTCTCCAGTCAAGGACTCGAATATGTAAGTATGTTCTATCACTTTTTTCTCCTCAAAATTCACATTAATCTATGCAGATATTCCCTCAATTTTAAAGAGTTTTAAGCAAAATCAAATCAAATAGAACTTTATGCAGAGCAATTTAGTGATACCGTGAACCAGAGTACTGTGATGGTTGAGACTGATGGGCAAGAGACACCTCAGATTGACATGCTTAGTGCCTCAATCAGCAATTGAGGAGGTTGCCCATCAAACTGAAAGCCATGCAGCTGGATAGTATTTGACTTTGCATTTTTAGCAAATTCAAGTATCAGATACCTTTAGGGTAGGTTAGTAAAAATAGGGGTGGAGCCAGTTATTTATTTTAGGACGGGCACTTTAACAAACTTAATTTTTTTTATCCCTATGGATAAAAGTAAGACATTTATACTTATTTAAATCATATTTGAGGGTCAAAAACCGGTATACATAAGGTGTACAAAGAGAAAACAACAATAAGAGAATAATTATGACCCTTAACAAAAATGATAGTAACTATAGTCATTTACAATTGACCCTGAAAATTTTTACACTTTGACAACATTGAATGATAACTTCTATTAATGTAATTGAAAATACCTTTCTCTATACATACAGTCAAACTATAAGTCATCCATTTATTAGTTATTCGGTTATGTAACTAAGTCTTTACAATCTTCATAGATAACTATATAGTGTCAATCAAAACTCGTAAATCAATGTCGAACTCAGATGTAAACTAATGGAATACCACACCTTTTCTAGTCTTAAAACTTTTTCAAGCAAGAACACCCATCCCTAATAGATTTTGGAAACTCAATGATAGCGTACAGTTTATTGTGACCTTTTTTTATATACTTATAACAAAACCCTGTACAATTTTCTTTCAAAAATTACAAAATAGTCCCAATATGTCCAAAACTGATCCAAAAATATCCGATGTAAGTCCAAAAGTTAATAATCATTTAGATAATGAGTTTATATTAATTGTAGCAAACAAATAATACAAGGGGCATAATGTTATAGGCTTAAAACATATTCAAAATATATATAGGCAATGTTAAGAAGAGGGAAAAAATTGAGGGTGGTCAGCTCTGGTGATACCTCAGATTTCTTGTTTTCAAATAGAGAATTGCAACAGCAGCATAAATAATAGAAGCAGTCTTACTTTCAGTGCCATTTTGACTCATGGTAAGTATACAACAAGCCATAAAACCTTTTGTCTTCTCTTCATAATAGACGAGATGGGTTCAATCCTTATCATCCACTCCAAAGTTCAAATATATTTCAGAAGAAAAACTTAAAAGTTTGTTAGTCAATGCTAAAGGCATTGACTAAATTCCAGATATAATGTCCTAGATGGTCTAAAATGGATCTAAGAATTCATTTGGCGGACTTCATGTTGTTACTTTCAAGGCACATTGACAAACCTCTACTCGTACTCAGGCCTTAGAAATTCTTGCTACAAAAATTGCACCCACCCATGGAAGAGACAAGAGAGAGAGAAAGAGACATACGGAGTGAGAAGTTCTCTACGGAAAGGAAGGCCATCGGTGGCGATGGTGTAAATGAGCGTGGCCGTGATCACACATCCCAGCACGGTGAAGAGACTTCTTAAGCCAATCGCAAGCGACACGATCATTGCGATTTGTGAGAGTGTGTGAGTGTGTGTGAGAAAGAGAGACAGAGAGAGAGGAAATTGAGCGAACTTCAAAAGGGAAAATGTGGGAAGGCCGTTAGTCCACGTCTTTTACTCTTCGTTTCGTTTATTCCAGAGAGATTCAGGACCACGGTACAATGAGCACGACGTCGTTTATTGAGAAGATGGACTAATCAAGCTTCAGAGCTCAAATGCAATTGTTTTTTTTTCCTCTACTTACATTGCATTTACATAGAGAAAGAGCCTCAAGATGTCTCAAATCTAGTTTGTTCCCTAGAGTTGCACAGACAAGTCAATGTCATCGAACCCATCATCTCGTATAAACATTGAAACTATTTCAGAGAATGCAATTAAGTATATATTTATTCTTAGGTGCAGACTAAAATTTAAGCCAAACATAAGATTTATAGCTTTGATACTGCGTTAAACCACCGTCTTGGTATAATTCTCATTTAAAAAACCCATCAAGGCCATAAAACAAGTTCGCTAGAACTTTCGAACCAGTCACAGTAGTCCTGAAACAACCAGTAACTGCTATTGATCCTATTTTACCAACCTCTGCTCCACAACATTAAACCACAGCCATGCAAAAAAAACATCAACCCAAATTCCTAGTTTATCCTTTTGCCATGAGTTGAATTCCAATAACCTAATAAGGAAAACACTGCAGAAACACAATCCAAGCTTTGCATGACCCAAAGGTACAAGAATTTGATAAGGACAACCGTGGTTAATCAATTCAAGAAAAGTTTCTACACCTCAGGTATCTAAAGTTGACAAAACAATATTACACTCTCCTTGAATAGAGCCAGAGAAAAAAAAATAAGCAAAAGGGTCTCAACCTTGAGAGCTTAGTATGAAGTTAGTACAAAAATATGGCTATGATACCAAAAGAAACCATGAAAAACAAATCCGTAACAAGAGAGTTGGAGATGATTCTGTCAAATTATTGCCATCTCCAGATCAACAGGCACAACCACCTCGTTGCTCACTTTCTGAAACAGCCTCGGGGATGCCCTGGAAGTATCTGTAACATATATCGAAAATAATTAAAAGCCAAAAAGGCATATTGTGCATCGATTGGGATTAACATCATCAAGGTGTTTGTTACGTGTTTTAAGGGCTGGGGGATGGGGAAGGGTAATGGGAGAAGAGGTCATTCTAACATAGACAAAATACACACATGCCATTGAAGAACATTAAAGATAGATACATGCATGTTTGTGTGTGTAAGTTGAGGGAGGGGAGGCCGCAGAGATACAGAAATAAAAATGTCTAATATTACATCAAAAAAGTTAAAACTTAAATCTAACCAATTTGAAATACGTTAACAGACTTACACTCTCTCTATCTAAACCAATCTACTACATTTACAAAAAAAAAAAAAACAGGTTGTTACGGTGTTAACACAACCAATCAAAATTTGTCCATTCTGTTGTGAGTTGTTATGTGGGTAATATATGTCAACATATCACCATATAAGATTGAAGTCATAAATGTGCTTACCATTATGAAAAATAAAAATGAGTCACCATGACCAGCTACACTAACAACCTTACCTGCAAATTTTTACCACTTTTATACCCTTATCAGGATGAGAATCCACAATTTAACATCAAGTCATGTCCATCTCCGTTTTCACGAATTTTTCAATAGAATTTTACCCGTTCTTATAAACATTTCTTCCAGATATTGACCGACAACCCCTTGCCTTCCATTTCAACCTCCTTAAATAAACCCATCTTCCCCCTTTTAAAGCTTTCAATATCCAAATGTGACGGTTTGGTCGCACGTCAGTGAATAGCAGTACGATAACCGGAATGGTAAACAATCCTAATTACAAAGAATGTCAGAAAAAACAAAAAATAGTTTGAGAGACATTGAATTAGTTGAAGAATATTGAAGAAGAAATTTCTGAAGGGAAAAGCTGCAAACAAAAACAACGAATATTGTTTCATTAATCACTAGCCATAATTCTTAATAGCAAGTTAAAGCATGAAACAAAATAATTTCTTGCAATATCTCCAAATTTCAATGCTCTGATAGATAAGGCAGATATCAATATCTTATCAACTATATATGTTTCATTCTATTAGAAGAATTAATGGCTAAAAAATGCATCAACAACAAATTTCCACATGTCAAATGCCAGCAATTAGGATTTTGACAGTAAGTTCTTTTGATATTCTTTCCAAATCCTCAATGTGAACTTACATATCCTGCTCATTCTCATTGGCTAAAGCAGTTTTAGCAATGCATAAGAATGCAGTATCAACATTGTAATCCTCCTTCGCAGATGTCTCATAGTAAGGTATGTTCCCTTTCGAAGCACACCACTCCCTTGCCTTTTTTTCCGAAACCTGTTTCCAGACATATTAGATCAAAATTTAAGGAATGCCAAACTTCAAAAGAACTGCAACAATAAGACCTTACCACTCGGCTATTTCCACCATCTATATCAATTTTGTTTCCAAGTAATGTAAATGGAAATGTTCTTGGGTCAGTTGGGTTTGCCTGCAAAACAATGAAACCCAGTTATTGAAATGGCCTCACATATCCAAAAGGAACTGATATCTCTTTTCTATAATAAGTGGATACTATGGATTCTGCATCCAGAAGACAATGAAGGAATCAAACTTATAAGTGAAAATTATCATCCAAAATAGGAATGCTTTAAGCTAGACACATAATAGCACGGGGCTCCAATGTTAACAAATCATGCCAGAAAGCTGCATTTCCAAAAAACTAGCAGATTGACTATTTTATTTTCATCAGTAACCAGAAAATTCAATTACCAAAGCTCAGACAAAAAAGGTCCAATAAAAACCATCATTTCGGGCTAATGGAGTTCACAAAATACAATTAAAACATAAAATGTACTGTTCATGCAATGAGAAACCTGAAGTTATTAAACAGAGCCTGGAATGGGTCGATTTATTTAATGTGTAAGTAGTAGAATTACTTGGATCGCTGCCTCATCTATCAACCCTTCCCCTTCAACCTTCTCACTCTCTTCTTCTTTGACTTACCTCTCACAGTGCTGACCTGGTAAGGCTCTTTGTTCCCTTCTATCTCCCGGCAGATTAACTATTCACTCAAGAATTAAACCTCAATGGCGGATTTTTGTGTGTGTGTGTGTGTCTGAGGGAGAATTTGAGAGAACTATAAAAGGGAAAATATGTGAAGGCCAGTCAACTGCTTGTGCTTTGAACCTGTCAGAAACCTTTTTTTTGGGGAGGGGAAGAGGATGTCTGAAAAGGGGAGCGCGATTACATGAGAAAGAGGGTCATGATTCAATCACAAGCTGCAAGTTTTTGCTTGACTGTTGCTCACTATAACATTATTCCTTGTGATTTGTATCAAAGAAGAAGACCAAATAATTGTCTTTCACCCCATTGGTGTGTAATGTGCAGAAAAGGTTGTGAAAGAGCAGATCATCTCTTTATCCATTGCTTGGTGGTGTTGAGTCTATGGTATAAAGCTTATGGAGAGTTTAGAGTGAGTTTGGTCATTCCACGAGATTGTGTATCCTTGTTGGAGATTAATCAAGATCTTTTTGGAAAGGGGAGTAGAGCTTCTAATCCGTGGAAATGTGTTGTTATGACAATTATTTGGGTGGTATGAATGGAAAGAAATACGAGAATCTTTGATGATAAGGAAGAACAAGGGGTGTTGCTATAGGATAAAGCAAAATTTTTGGCTTCTCTATGGACGGCAGCAACTAAAGAGCTTGAGGATGTGCCACTTTTTTCCCTTTTTATTGATTGGATTGTTGCATGTAGTTAGATGTTGTTATGGCTGAAGTTTGTTTTGTTTATTTCTTCCCTTCTTGCTCTTTTCTTTTTGGTGGATCTCTTGTCTACTATATTGTAATCTTTACACTACTCAATGAAAGTTATGTTTCTTATAAAAAAAAGATTCAATTACAAACTGCAAAATAAGAAGGAAACCAGTGTATCTTCACGCATAGCAACCAGGCTATTAAACATAAGCCAACTCTTTTAGCCATGTTAGATGAAACGAAACATGCGACAAGATTAGAAGGAAACCATCAGATCTTCCCAAATAGCAATGGGGATATTAGATTAAGTCTTCTTAGCCATCAACCCCATCAAAGATATTCCCAATTTTCAGCAAGTGTGATTCTCCCTCCCAAATGACGAGAAACTGCTCCGACTAGGGTTCCATAACACCCTCTCAAACTTAGCCAATTTTTCATGGGACATAAAAGTAAAATCTTTATCAGTAAGGAAGAGATTATACAGGCCAAAACCAACCTCTCAAAAGTGATATACAGGCAAAGCAAAAGGGAATGTTCAACTTTTTGAGCATTAGTTGTCAAAAGTCATAAGACTCTACCTCAACAAGACAACAGTTATCAAAATAAGACCAGAAACTTTAACAAGAATCAGAGGCTCTAAAAAACCTCTAAAACCGGAATAGCAGAATGAGAGAATGCTTAAATGAGATTCAAGTACCATGAATTAAACTTTAATCCACGTCTGATAGAAGATTTGGATTTGGTATGCAATGTTTGTCCAAATCTGATTTATCTTATCACCAAAAATACCAACCTCAAAGCACCCAATTAATCTCCATTAATGGGAGTTATATGTAACTTAGCAAGATTGATAATTTAATTACAACCATGGACCACTGCACAGTAAGGTCAAACAATGAAAATGTTTAAAACCAATTCCCAAAATCTTTTTTAGATAAACTGAGCTATAAAATACTGACACACCTAAAGTAAAGCTCAAATTATACAATTTATTGCAAAAAAAAATTCTAATAATAATCTCGTACATCCTTTCAAAATGTATGACCAAATCAAAGATTTGATTAGTAACCACATTCAATTTCAGAGTCACCCCTAATGCATCCATTTCCAAGCCCAGATTCAACTGAAATCTGTATAACATTTTTGTAATGTCCTGCCAGCTGCCACTAGAGGAGACAAACCACAGTAATTCAAAACAATTCTCACACACACAATGTAAAGCTAAGAGCTACTCAAAGGTTTGAACTTTTTATTACCCTCCAGCAACATAAAATTTCTCTAAAAAACGAGGAAAAAAAAACTATTATATGAAACTTATGTCGTTCATGTCTAGCTTAGCACACTACTGTAAAGGATAAAATTATTGTTTCACACTCTTTCAGCAAGTACAACATGAATGTAAAAGATATGCATGCTAACATGAAGCAAGCAGGGGTCTGAAGTAGTTTACATTCCCCTAAAATGAAAAAGAAGACTTTCAATTAAACTAGAATGTCATATTACATAGGAAGCAACAAGTTAAAGTTTATGCCAAAGCTATGGCAAGGTCAAAGATGAAGCTCAGAAAATATAAACAAACCTGCTTGAGAAACTCTTCATGCCAATTGTCAAGAGTATCAAAAGATCTCATCACGTTTACATCATACACTAAGACACAGCAATCTGCTCCTCTGTAAAAGGCAACACCAAGACTTTGAAATCGCTCCTGCCCGGCAGTATCCCATATCTACCATGCAATCATTCACCCATCAGGAATTCCCTTTAAAAAAAGCATGTGAAAAAGAAAATTTTTGAATGAATAGAGGAAAATCTCAGTAACACTAAAAACCAACTTGCAAAGTGACGAGCCTGTCATCAATTTGTAGTTCCTTGGTGACAAAATCAGCCCCAATGGTAGCTTTATATTGCTGGCTGAACTTCTTATGTACGTATCTACATAAGCAGTCAAGGCCCACAAACACAATTTCCAACAAAAGCAGTGCACCAATAATCATAAGAAAAACAAAGCTTATCCACACTTCAATTGTTATTTTGCAAGCCAATCATTTTCACTAGTGAAATCCAAAAATAATACTAACATAGCACTTTTCACTCCACGTAACCGATACCATCCTACCAATGCCTCACATTAAAAACAACATGCAAATCAATTCTCTACAATACTTTCTAAAAATATCCCCAAATATAAAATTAATAATCAAATAATTCAGGAAGATAACCAGAAAATTTTGATACACGTATCAATCAGTTACGTGAAGAAGGATACTGGTTCATCAATGACGTCTTGCCAACCCTGACAATGACCCAAAAAAAGATTGAAAAAAAAGAAGATTAAATTAAGCGATAAGTAAATCAAGAAAGTAAAAGTAAATGCTTTTCTATACAAACCCTAAGATCCAAAAATTCGAAATAAAAAACTGACAATCGTGCATACCCACTGTCCCCGAGGACGATAACCTTGAGCAGTGTTCTTCTACGCAATGACATGACGAGAACAAAGTAGATAACCTTTCTTTCAAATCTGTTCGAAAGTTCGATCGAGAGAGAGAGAGAGAGAGAGAAAGAGAAAGATAAATAAAGAGAGAGAGAGAGAGAGAAAAAAAGAAAGAAACAGGAAAAAGGGGCGCCAAAATCTCTCTCTCTCTCTCGCTTATACAATTTGGGAGAACCGACAAAACCATAACTACTCTGCGGCCGGCCAATTGATTATCCAGATTAGTTGGATAATCCAATGTCCCAAACTTTATTTCCTTCCTGGCTAAAAATAGAAACTCCAATTCTCTCTGTTGGGTGGATCTTCCGATCATGGATTAGGGCATGTTTGATCCGGATATTAGAATAAAACTAAATAAAATCATTATGGTAATAACTTAATATCATATTTAAATTGAATCATATATCTCGATCTTGTAACATGACTTCATATTTGTCTTGATTTATAATAATAAGGGTATTTTTATTTTTGGTTACACAGTGAGACAATCACATAAAAACTTTTGCAGGCTTTTATGTTTGTCTTGAGTTTTTCGTGGCTCATATCATTTTAAGACTTTGATTCGACGATCCTCATACCAAATTTGATTTAACACTCACATCTCTCGTCTAACTCTCTTCCCTTATCTTATCTCATACTAACAATGCAGACTCCTATCTCCCATTTAACTTTATCTTCCTATTTCATACCGTAACTCTTTTTACCTTTCTCCCTTCTCTCTCTCTTTCTCTCCCCGACACACTCTCCCTCCTCTCTTCCATTTTTAATGATCAGTAACCCATCAAATTAACCCATTTGGTTTACGTAAGAGTACATTGAACGTGAGGAATGATTGAAGGCAAGAACATGGAACCCCATAAAACCCATCTTCCATTTTCCCACTGATGGGACATTTTCAAAATACTCCAAGATGAAGACATGTGTCCTCGGTGTCACTAAATTCTTGTTACTATGATCACGACACGTACATATCGGTTCACAAGTCCCTCTCCCCCGCAGTACTGGTCGTAGGGATCAATGGCATCCAGTACTTTTACGTACCGACACGTATCCCTCGGTCGGGGGGATATGGTACATCGGTCCCATGTACCTCCCTCTCGGCTCCGAAATGTATCTACCCCTCGGTTCCGAGGTGTACCGTCCAAGATGGCATTCTCTGCTCCCGCAGAGCTATTAATGTACAGGACGCTAGCCTAGGCTAGGCTAGGTTAGCCATCATGACCTCGTCTTACACAATTGGTGTCAGAAGGCTCAAGAAGGCAGGGAACACAGCCAATGGGGAATGGACGCGTGGCATATTGTGTCACATCAGAGACAAAAAGACCGGATGCCCTTGCTGACACACGACTTGGGAAAGCAAGCATTCAATTACACCATTCCCTTGATGAGACAGCATTTAATGCGGTAAAGCTCGGAAGTGAAAGGTAATAAATGTCTCTAAGGCTGGACATTTATAACATCCTCCCCGAGAGGAGCTCATTGAACAGTCGGCAGGCCGATGACACAGCCTTGGTTGCTCGGGATCCCGAGCAGTTAAGAGAGAAGACATTCCTCATAGGAAGCCGTGCACACGTTGCCTGTACCTAATGATCACCTACTGACCACACTGACAGCAATCATGAGTTTTTAAGGTATAAATACTCTTCGCAAAAGGCAAGACAATATGCAACAAAAAACCTTTATACTCAGTATTTTCTTCTTCCTCTCTCTCAACAAACTGACTTGATCGTCGAAGGGGATACGCCAGAAAACACTTCGGCGCCCTTCTAACTTGTCTTTATTTGTCCTAGGAACCTTCTCCAGCCTTACTGGATCGTTCCGTAGATCCACGAAGGTCTCCCATTACTATTCCAGGTTACCACCGGACCTCATAGTTTGTTCCAAACAGCAGGGTTGACCACTCAACTGACTCACTCGAGTTCACCAAGGGAGAGATCTGTTATCGTGTTTATATTGTGCAAGATCCAGCACGCACAATCTGGCGCCGTCTGTGGGAAACGACTAGTTTTCCTAATTTCTTCTCTATAAAGAACAGTAACCATGGTGAATACTCGACAAAAAGGGAAAGGTCCCCAACAAAAAAGTCTCGAATTACAAGCTCCATGTCACCATGGAGGGAGGGATCACACTGATGGGAATAAAAATATCTCTATTCAGTCAAGAGGGGTTACCCCTCAAACCATTATGGGCATTAGGTCAGGAGGATCTGCCCCCTTGGCTCGTCAACTGGTGGAGGTGATCGAAAAAAAGTTTGGGGATCGATTACGACAGTTGGAAAAGGACAATGTGAACGTCCTAAGCAGACTCAACGAATTCGTAGCCTCCGGCGAAGGGTCGAGGGACTCATTCCTTTCTCGTGGGCTCCCCGCCCGAGAGGCAGAAACAAAGGATCTAAGGAATCATTTAAACAACAAGGCAGAAAGCTCCAAGGCCCCAAAGCGACCAAGAGCCAATGAGCGTCCTCTTAACGACCATTCCAGGAAGGCAAGGCCTTTAGCCCTGGATGACCTCCAACGAGGACTGTCAAGACGGAGGAAGGGAGATGAGTCCGAGGAGGATTCAACCCTATCCACGTGACGCCCAGGAAATGGGGGACCCATTGACGAACTCGGAGACTTCAGAAGACACCCCGTTAGGGAGGAAATTGATCTCAGAGCCCGGTTAGAATTCAGGAGAAAGAGTAAGGCTGTCCAGGATGAGATCGAAGACGAGGTCATACAAACACCCTTTACCAGGGAGATCAGAGAGATGGAGGTTCCAAGAAAGTTCGTCGTACCGAGGTTCAAAACTTATGACGAGCAGTCCGATCCCGAAGCCCATTTCAGGCAATATAAGCAAATGATATCCCTGTATCATTCAGACCAACGGTTCCTCTGCCGAGTGTTTCCTTGGAGCTTGGGGGACTCTGTGATGAAGTGGTTTAAGGCGCTTCCCCCCAACAACATTGGATCATGGAAGGAATTGACGAGGCAGTTCCTGACTCGATTCATTACGGAGAGTAAGCGGCCTAAAGATGTTAGATCATTGCTAACGCTCAGACGTAGGGAATCCGAGACCCTTCGTCAGTACGTCATTCGATACTGGGAAGAGGTCAATGAGGTAGAGGGCTGCTCGGAAGTCATGGCAGCGGCGTCTTTCAGGCTCGACTTGGCAAGGGACACGGACCTGTACCGATCCCTGACCAAGAAGACTCCCTCGGATATGGGCGAGCTGATGGCCCGGATAAACAAGTACTCAATGATCGAGGACGAGATGGGAAGCAGCAAAGGCCGAACCTTCCAATCTAAGAGAAAAGAGAGGGAACGGGAAGATACTCCCCGAAAGTGATTGCTATCCCCTCCGGGGGGTCGTTCAAAGAGTTCACACTATGTTCAAGGAACCCATCTTCAAGTTGCTTCATAAGATAAAGCATGAGCCATTCTTCAAGTGGCCGACCAGGATGCAGAGCGATCCCTCCACCCGTGATCAAAAGGTTAGGTGTTCCTATCACCGAGATTTCGGACATCACACCGAAAGCTGCAGGGTATACAAATTGTTCTTGAAAAGATTGGTCCGAGACGGATACTTGAAAGAATACATAGAGCCTAGGACGGAAGAGAGACAAACTCATACCCCGACCGATGAGCCAAACAACGTCATAGATGTCATCCATGTATGTCCGCTAGATCGCCCCACGTCCAAGGAACTCGAGTCCGATCTCAAGATGGTAGCTTTTACAAGGAAGATAGCCAAAGATGATGGGGGGCCACCCAGTAAAAGGGCCAGGACTGGGGAGCCCAGCATCACGTTCTTCGACGCGGACTTGACAGGCGTGGTGACTCCTCATAACGACGCCCTTGTCTTAACCTTAAAGATAGGTAAGTTCGACGTCAAGAGGGTGTTAATAGACTCCGGAAGTTCCTCGGAAGTGATGTGCTCTGACACTTTAAAACGGATGGGTCTTGGCCTCAAGGACCTCACCAAGGTCAGGACACCCCTCATCGGTTTCAACGGCTTGTTCGTCCTGCCCATAGGCAAAATCACATTGTCAGTTGTCACAGGTCCCTTCATCATCAACACCGAGTTTGTCGTGATTGATACGAACTCTCCACAAGCTACTTTCTCTTATCTCTAACTTTCCCCCCTACAATACATACCACACCGAAGTAACACCCTCTCCCTTCCTCTCTGTCTCTACCTTGTGCCTCTAATACACACTGAACAACCCACTGCAAACAGTCCAGGTATCTCTCTCTGGATCTTCTCTTTCTTTCTCTCTCTCTCTCTAACTGTGCGCATGTTTTTGTTCATGTGTGTGTGTGTGTTGTGTTCATGTGTGTGTGTGTGTTGTGTTCATGTGTGTGTGTGTTGTCTATCAGTGTGTTCATGTGTGTGCCTGCATTCCTGTGTTTTTTAATTTTTCAGAATGTGTTCATGTGTGTAATATAGTATTTCCCCTTAAGTATTAGACCCGGTATTAGACCCGGGGCCGGTCGGTGCAAGAAGGGTAATGCAAAAACCAAAGAGGAAAAAAAACAAAACTTTTGTCCTTAAGTTAAATATAATACCCATAGGACCCAGATTGGTGGTTTGCAAGTCAAACATGTTGGCATACTGATAGTATAAACAAAACGTGAAGAACCCATTAGATGGAACAAAACACAGAAACATTATGTAGAAATTGAAGATTCATTGTATTAATAGCAAACAAAATAGAGTAAACCCATCAAAGTTAAGCTCTTGCAGAAGCATAAATAAATTAATAAAGAGCTACACATAACACACTAAACACTTTAAATTCCCATACCACTAGGATGAAAGTGACACTGGAATGAGCTCATCTCACAGAAGCCCAATGTTAAGCGTAAAGAAGAAAGAGCGTAGGATGAAAGTGAGACTGGAATGAGGTCATGTCAAAAAAGCCCAATGTTAAGCGTAAAGAAGAAAGAGCATGACAGACGTTGTGTTCATGGGTTCATGTGTGTGCCTGTGTTTGTGTTCGTGTGTGTGTTCATGCGTCTGCCAGTGTGTTCATGTGTGTGTTTTGTTTTTTTTTTTTGTGTGTGTGTGTTTATGTGTGTGTTTTAGTTTCCAAGTTTCTTCTCTCTTTAAATTTTTGATAATTATAAGCACTCCCTTTATTTTTTACT